TCAAGTGGAATAAATTATGTGAGTGACAAATATTTTCAAATTTTTATTGCATTTCCAGACATGTTCGCCCTGAAATATATGAGAATATGTACTTCGTAAAATGTTACAAACTAACATGGTAGAACTATACAGAAGGAAGATTAAGATGGAAGGCCAAGGAAACTGAATCCATGTGTTTCCTGAAGTTTAAGCAGAATCAGCTAACTATGCAAATCTGGTATTTTAAAATAAAATTAGAACTTTGCTAAATTCTGATGCAGCATTCAGATTTTGATTTTACCTGTTAAATTCCATAGGTTTCCATACACATCCTGCTTTTTTGGAACATATAAATTAGTATAGATGACCCTTACAAAGTAGTTTCCATAAACTATCAAAAGAACATTCATCTGTCAAAATACAGTAAGACAATAAGAAAGGCTGGGTGCGTGGGGCACTAAGAAAAAGTCAATTGAGACTTCACATCTATTAAAAACCCTGAGTGAATAAAAATATCTTCATCTATCACTGAAAAGAAAGCAGGGTTAGCAGTTGGTGTAACTCTCTGGGGAGAGCATCAGGGCACTGCAACAGAAAAGACCCAGTCATGGATCACCACCTTCCTTGCATCAGTTGATGATGATGATCATGAAGACCTTTAGGAAAGGATTTCATGAGCTGTCGTGATTCCAAGATGTTTAGGGCTTTAGACAATACTGTGTACTGGGTCTAGAAGCCAGTGCAGTCAGTCTAAGACAGTTGGTCTGTTACGTATGTCTGATCCCCATTTGTAAGTTATTTGCCATTTTTTATACTGACTGTGTTTACTAAACTGCCTTCAAGGTCATCTCCATGTTCAACATATTACAATAATCTTAATAGGACTTATCATAGCATGAATAACTTCCTAGACCATCTAGGCAAGACGACAACTGCTGCACCAATCCTCAGGAAGAGGTGCTTTATGCCGCTAAGGCTACTGGGCATCCAAAAATAAGTCAAGATATAATGGCATCCTCCAGTTTGTGAACCTGATCCTTAAGGAAAAGTGCCTATCCAGAAAAGGCAGCACATTGCCTCCCAAGTTAAATAAACATCATACCAACAGTATCTGTCCAGTCATCATGATTGAGCTTTTTAATGCAACTCTCAGTGCATTACCAATTTAAAGCCCATCACTTGCACAGTATCAGTTGAATTAGATGAAAATGAGAAAGTGTTGGTGTCAGTTGCACCCTGTCCCCTCAAAATTCCTCTATGATCTCATTCATCTTTTCATGTAGATGATGAACAGGATGAGAAATATAATAATACTCTACAGAACATGATAGCATAACTACCATAAGATAGACCAAAACTGTCCTCCAGCATCACAGGAGCTGACTGTCCAAGTGGGAATGGAACCACAAAGCTGTGCCTCCAATCCCTTCCTTGATGGCCTTCTTAGAAAACTACAGTTGTCGGTGGTATTGAAAGTCACAAAAGGGCAGGAAAATTAGCAGGCTCATGTTTTTTTTGCCCTTCTCTTGACATCAAGACAACCAGTGCTGTTGCACTGTCAAAACCAGGCTAGAACGCAAATTGAAATGAATTCTGAAAATCAGTGTTGACCTGGTGGCTCCAACCCTGGGAGATGTCCTATTTTCTAAGTTCAAGTATATATCTTAAAATCCCAGTTACTTAGTTTTCTGTCATGCAAACAGATTTATCATCAGTCTGCCAGAGTCAGATTTTATAAGAACAAGGTACCCTCTAGATCAGGGGTCTCAAACTCGCGGCCCACAGGCCAATTGCCGGGATGGGTGGGGCACGGGGAAGGGGCCCTGCGACCTTCAAAGCGCCAGCGGCGCCCAGGCTGGCCGCGAGATGAGCGGCCCATCACCACCGCGGTGGTGGAATACTTGATGTGGCCCAGCCTCACCCAGACTCTACTTCCAGCGGCCCCCAGGTAAGTTGAGTTTGAGACCCTACTCTAGATGTTTAGGACTACAACACCTGTACTCAGTGATAATTGGCTATCCTGACTGTAGTCCAAAACATCTGGAAGACATGAGACTAGACCGATATGTTGAAGCCTGATTCTTGTAACATAATAGTGATGAATATTAAGTTATTTCTTACAGAAAATGGTAAGGTGTTGATATGTTACAGAAACAAAGACAGGAAGATCTAAACTGATGATAGCAAGTGTACTAATGACAAGAATATTAAGAATGATAAAATAGATTTACAATTTCAAAGGTGAGATTTAATCTTGCCTCAGTCAGGCAGTGCAGGCATTATAATCTAATACACTATTGTGTACCTTTTATGTTAGATTACATCTGCCATAGGTGTGAGCTTGGTTGACTTGTAAAGCAACAGAACAAAACAAAAACTACTTAACAAAAACTTCACCCCAAGTTTTGCATGGATGAAATTTCTCAAAACGTTTATTTAAGAAAGACTTTTGCTGAAGATGAATTATCCCTTCATAACAAAAGTTTGCCATATCAATTTAGAATGATCTTCCAGATGCAGGTCTATACCATTTCTCTGGTTCATGAAGTTGCCAAGTATAAATATCTCTTATCCTCCCAAAATGACAGATCCATTTGCCCAAGACAATCTGTATCAAACTATTATTACTGGATTAAGTAATAGCTATACCATCAAGGATTCACTCCCAATGTGATATATGCTATTATTTGTTTGCATAGAAGACAAGAAAATAATAAGTTCTTAAAGGTGAAAAGTGAAATTTAATTCTATCCCTTTTTGAGGCTCTTTCATCAGGGGCCATCTTAAAAAATAAAAATGCTACAAATAAATTCAGTTACCAAGCAGTGGCTCTTCTTTATACATCATGGCATTTCACTTTGGCAGCTCTGAAAACTTATGATGTTAATTTTATTGTTGTTGTTGTTAGTCGCAAAGTCATGTCTGATCCATCGCGACCCCATGGACAACATTCCTCCAGGCCTTCCTGTCCTCCACCATCCCCCGGAGTCCATTTAAGCTCACACCAACTGCTTCTGTGACTCCATCTAGCCACCTCATCCTCTGCCTTCCCCTTCTTTTGCCATCTATTGTTCCCAGCATTAGGCTCTTCTCCGGGGAATCCTTCCTTCTCATTAGGTGGCCAAAGTATTTGAGTTTCATCTTCAAAATTAATTCCATAGGCCAAAGAGGTTATTATCTGAATCTGTAGACCAAATAGGAATAAGTGGATACAAATCATGTGTTAAAATGACATCATTCAGAACTATAGAATGAATATTGAAATCTCCTGGGACATTAACCATGCTTTAAAAAAGACAGTTCAAAGTCTAACTGGAAATGGTTCTTTGTTAGCAAATTTGATGCTATCTTTTAATATGAAAAGGGATTATTTATGGCTTTCATGATTTGCATCCAACAAATAGTTACAATCTTGGTTTCAGTTCCTAAGAATAGTATTTCACTTGAAGTGAGCTGGGCTCTTTGGCATTAATCTGGGAAGATAACATCCATAGATGAGCAGTTTTCATCCATCCTCAGCAACATTGTTAGGCTTCAATTGGGATCATTGTATATATATCATGTATTTTTGCCTTTTTTATGTTTTAGCTTTACTGTGCACTACTTTTTCTTGACCTGTATATATCTACCACTTCTCTGGGTTGTTCTTATGAGTCATATGTAGACTCTAAATTTTAAATGCTTACATCCTTTAAGTTACAAAGCTATTTCATGAAAGTTTAAGGTACACCTTCTTAGTGGGATTTGTAAACTGGAGATTTTGAAAGGTTTGCTACTAGAAGAGTAAGGCCATTTATGCAAGTTATCTGAGTCTTATATGCCAGGAGAAATCATTAAGGTATCTAGCAAATGTCTTGTCTGAGAAATCACAATTCTCAAAAGGGAAATGGACATTGACATGTTGCTTAATATGATAGTAACTGGCATATGACAAGTCTGGAGAGGACAAAAATGCCAATATACAGTTAGATTGGAGTTTGGGGGTTATGTAGGTACTGCTGGTTCCAGATTTGAAGGACAGGTAGCTTGTCCAGAATGTTCTGAGTGGGCCATCCTCCATGCCACTGCTACCTGTTTGTTTTTCCTCTCGTACTGGGCCCAATTCACACCATTGTCGAGAAAAAAAGAGGAAGGCATGTAGATGGTACTGCTCCTTCTCCTTACTCATGTCACTGTTTTCACACTTGGAAAGACAGATGAACAGCTCCCAATAATAAAGAGAAGATGGAAGATGTTAACCCATACTGTTGGCCTTGGCTATAGGTAAGATAGTAATAGAACTTGCAATTGCAACAACTCTTTTCTCATAGTGAGCAAGATTTGCACAAAGTTTACACAGGATGGAAAGAACTTTTCTTGGCAGACTAAATGCCTCTGACCATACAACACTGCTTGAATATCTAAAGAAAGGGCAGATGTAATGGTTAGGGGGCTAGAGGTCCTTCCTGGAAATTAAAGTCTAGGTGCTCTTAATTTAGATAGAGACAATATCTAAATATCTCCCCAATAGGGTGGGGCATGATGGACCTTTATAAAGTCATGATGATGTAGAAAAACTGGGTAGAGGCTTTTTACTTTTCTCTTCTACCACTAGAACTTGGGGCCACTCATTCTACTGATTAGCAATAGGTTCAGGTCACACAAAAATAAATTTCTTCTTAGATTTCACAACTGACTTATGGAGTTCACTGTTGTACAATATGGTGTTGTCTGCTAGCTTAGATGACTTGAAAAGGATAAGACAAATTCATGGAGGAGAGTTCTGTTAATGGCTATTAGGCATGAGAGATAAATGCAGCATCTAAGTTCAGGGCAGTGAATAACAGATTCAGGGAAGCAGGTCAAAGCTGTTGCCTTTATTCACCACTTAGCTTCCTGAAGAATTCAGGTAGTCTCTGTGGGAAGCAGAACTGAATGGATTGTTTGTCTGATCTAGCAGGAGTCATCTTACCTTCTTAAAGAAGGGAAAGTTTATGAGAGACATAAAGCTACCCACTCCCCTCTCTTTTTTCCCTTTGTAGGTATGTGAATACTCTTCTGAAGCTCATCCCACCTGTACTTGGACTTCAGGAACAGCTACGTCAAGCTGTTCAGAGCAGGGACATGGAGACATCTCATGGGATCTGCCGTATTGCTGTGGCCCTGGGAGAGAATCATTCCCGGTGAGGAGCTTGGAGATGGAAATTGATAGTGGTGATAGTTAGAAAGTGGAGCTAGCTTTCAAACCTCTGTGGCACTACCTAGGTGACAGGCTAGGGGTCTTTTCTGTACCCAGTTAAGTTTCCTTACAACCAAGCGTCAGTTAGGTCTCTCATAGCTTGAAGTTAAACAGGATAATATCTCAGCACTTGACATGGTTGCGGGGAGGCTATACACTTTCTCCATGTGAAAGCCATTGGAGATGCTAAACCAACTGGTTGTTCTGTTGGTAAGTGTTGCTTCATGAATTGCTGGGTCCTTCTCACTATGCCTTCTTGTCCAATTTGCTACAGAGGGGTTAGTGCATCCATATGATTTATAATCCTGAATGTGGGGTATCTGCTGTTCCCATGGACCTGCTGTTGCAAAGCAGATTTCTCTGATGCTGCATGAATGCTACCTCCCACAGAGCACTCTTGGACCAGGTGGATCACTGGCAGAGCTTCCTGGCACTTGTCAACATGATCATGTTCTGTACTGGGATACCAGGCCACTATCCTGTCAATGAGACCACAAGTTCACTTACGCTCACCTTCTGGTATACCTTACAGGTAAGTGTTAGTTAAGTTCCAGAAGTGGATTCCCTCACTGGAATCTTGTTATGCCTTGTTCCCTGTTAAGTACCATGTATGCACTTGTATCAACTGTTTTCCATATGTAAGCACATATCACATAACTAGTATTCATATAATCTCTAGACTGAATATAGTACAATGTTCTGGACCCTACCTTCATGAGCTTCAAGGGCAGACTTTGAGGTTAGTTCTTTGCTTGAAAGAGAAAGGAAATTCTTGATTGAAGCTCAGACTACATGAACTGTCATCACGCTGCTCACTAGGGCTCCTGTCTATGTTGCAATCTATGGCTATGATATTGAAGCTGTATGGTAACCAGGTTTTGTTCTAGTACTGTGCTTTCTGTCAGTGGAGAAGATCTCAGATATACACACAGGAATTGTCTATCTAAGCTTCTGTGGGGTGCTGAAGCCGTTTGCTTCCTGTTGGGTTAGACCACTCATGTCATCATGGAGTTACAAGGACCAGACCGTTACTGTTGGAGACATTTGCCATCTTTCTGTAGAGCCCAGCCTTTCTCTTTCTGCTAAAAGCAGCTTAACTATCAATATCCTGTTTTGGTGTGAACAAAACTCCAGCCAATGTTCAGAGGTGGTACTGTTGTGTCTCCTTTCTGCAGGCAGTGAGAGTTCCTAGAATACCTTATCATCTGCCAACAGCCTTATCAGGGAGAGCCTTATAGATGTGCTTGGAAAGCAGAGAAGAACAACTTTGTTTGAGCTGTTGCTATTCCCAGTTCCAAATACAGTTGGTGTAGATGCCAGTCTGGATGTATTTGTTCTGATATATGCTTGCTGCTACACTAAAATACAATGCTAGAAGCAGTGCTGCCTGATCTGACTTGTCTTCCCCACCCCCACCCTTCCTTGGAAGCCAGCCGTCTTATTTGCATGGCAAATTAGCCTGACATACTCCTGCACTGGCCAAGAGCAAGGCTGGATTTTGAGCTGCTGCTTCTCTGGGTACAGCTTGTAAAGGGATGAGATCATCCATTGTCTTAGTGTGTGACTGATGAAATACTTGAGCCTACGGGGACATCTTTACTAAGGAATGGACCAGAACTGGAGCAGCATCGGTTGCATGCTACTACAGAGCAGAGGAATTCTTCTACAGTGTCTTCCACACATATTTGCAGTTCCCATTCTGTCCCTGGTTTCCCAAAATATCCATCTAAGCATTGAATACTTTGTGCCTGGCAGCATAGATCCCCTGCCAAGAAGGTACTCTGTGAAGGCTTTCCTTATCCTTGCACATCTTCTTCATGGCCTCTGCCTAAAGGAAGTGAAAACTAAATCCAATGCTAGGCATGTATTTAAAAGGCTCTTGTGAAGCTTTGGACATGAATTCAATGGCCTGGAGTCCATTCCAGTTGTGCATATTGTGTTCTTTGAGGCCCTTGAGCAGTATGAGAGTGTCTAACATTCTCCTCAGAACATAATTTGCTACACTGTCTGCACAAATTAATTGAGGGATTAAAATTGTAGTCACTGGGATCGAAATGGTAGTCACTGTAAAAAGAAGCTGACTCACCTGGTCAGCTGCTTTGCTGCCTTGTGATGGATTCTTTTTCATTCTAGCTGGGGATGGTAGTGTGAGGTGGGATTACAAGGCTAAGATAGTTGACTGACAAAGTGGAGTATAGATGAGCACCACTGCTTTATTTTCTGATTTAAAAGAAAGGGGAATACTCACCTTACTGCTGAAAGCCCTGATAAGTGGAGCTGCTAACAGGATGTAAGGGAAATTTGTGACCCTTGCTTTGAGAATGTTGTGGCTTTGTGCCACCTGATTTGTACCTGAAAGCTGGCCATATTTTTGGAACTTGGAATTCTGGGAGGGGAGCCTCAGATGCCCTGTTAGTATAAACTAATACAAATGGTATTGGAAAGACTAGACTATTTGAGTGAAGTAGCCTGACTTCATAAAAAGACTTAACAAAAGACATGAGAAAGAGAAGGGTGTCGAGCTACTTAAAGTGGATGGCAGAGTGATAACAGATGACAAGGAAAAGGCAGAAGTGCTCAATTTCTACTTTGGCTCAGTCTTCTCCCACAAGGAAATCTACAACCTAGAGGAAGCACAAACTGAAAGTTAGAGATGGCAGTCCAAGATTGACAGACAAATGGTCAAGGAATACCTAGATGGAATAAACATGTTCAAATCTCCAGACCCCAATGAACTCCATCCCATAGTCATAAAAGAGCTAGTGGAGGAACTCTCAGAACCACTGGCTATTCCATAAATCTTGGAAAACAGGAGAAGTGCCAGATGATTGGAGAAGGGCTAAATTTGTTCCTATCTTCAGAAAGGGAGAAAAAGATGAACCTGGGAACTATAGACCAGTTAATCTGCCATCAATCCCTGGAAAAATTCTGGAGCAAATTATTAAAAAATCCATCTACAAGCATCTTGAAGAAAATCCAGTGATTAATGGAAGCCAGCATGGATTGATCAAAAATAAATCCTGACAAACTAATTTAATCTCATATTTTTGACCAGGTAACCTTGCAAACGGACAGAGAGAAACCTGTGGACATTGTTTACCTAGGTTTTAGCAAAGCTTTCAACATAGAGCTACACAACAATCTGATAATCAAATTAGCAAAAACGAGACTAGATAGAAAAACTATTAGGTAGATCCAAAATTGGTTACTGAGTCAGACACAAAGTGTGCTCATCAATGTCACCTTCTCAAATTAGATGGAGGTAACTAGTGGTGTGCCACAGAATTCAGTCCTCAGCCCAGTGCTCTGTAACATCTTAATTATTTGGATGAGGAAGTACAAGGAAAGATAATCAAATTTGCAGACAATAAAAAACTGGGTGGAATAGCAAACACCCTAGAAGACAGAATCAAGATCCAAAGCGATCCTGATAAACTTGAACACTGGGCTGAAAACAACAGAATGAGATTCAAGAAGGACAAATACTAAGTCCTCCACCTAGGAAATAGAAACCAAATGCATCAATACAAGATGGGGAATACGTGGCTCAACAGAACTGAAAAAGAAAAAGATCTCCAAGTAATTGTGGACAATAGGCTAAATATGAGCCAACAATGCAATGCATTCGCCAAATGGGCAAATGCTGTTTTGGGATGCATTAACAGAAGTATTACTTCCAAAGCATGAGTAGTAGTAGTTCCTCTGTACTCCTCACCAGTCAGACCTCATCTGGAATGCTGTGTCCAGTTCTGGGCACCAAGATTTAAGAAAGATGCAGAAAAATTGGAAGGGATCCAGAAGAGGGCAACAAAAATGATCCAGGGTTTGGAAACACTGCCCTATGAGGAGAGACTGAGAGAACTGGGCACATTCAGCCTTGAGAGGAGAAAACTGAGTGAGGGGACATGATATCCCTCTATAGGGACCTCTAAGGCTGTCACAAAGAGGAAGGTCAAGATCTCTTCTCACTGATGCCAGAATGTAGGACATGGAATAATCAAGTCAAACTGCAACAACCCAGGTTCAAGCTAGATATGAGGAAAAGCTTCCTCACTGTCAGAGCAATATGACAGTGGAACCAGCTGCCTAGAGAGGTGGTGGGCTCTCCCACACTAGAGACATTCAAAAAGGAACTGGACAGCCATCTAAGTGGGATGGTGTAAACTGGCATCTTGCAACAGCAGGGGGTTGGACCCGATCGCCTTCATGGCCCCTTCCAACTTTGCTATTCTATGATAATGTGATTTCTGGATTCCCCAGATGGAAAGCTCAAGACAAGTGAGAGGGCATTTCTCCTGATCATATTGTTTGTGTTACATCAGTGTGAAAGCTGGAGTAATAGGCTGGATTTTTTTAACCTCCACTTGAGGAACAATCTCTCTTTTTGCAGGATGACATCCTATCTTTTGATCCAGAAAAGCAGGCCATGTATCAGCAGGTATATCGACCTGTCTATTTCCAGCTGGTGGATGTGCTCCTGCACAAAGCTCAATTTCCTTCCGATGAAGAATACGGTTCCTGGTCCTCTGATGAAAAGGAGCAGTTTCGGATATACCGGTAATGGCCTTTTTCCTGGCAGTATTCCTTAATACCGCATGCAGTTTGTGTGTGCAAGAGTAAAAGCTCATTGTGCTACATCAGTAAGGGTAAATGTTGAATTTGCCCTGAGCTGGCTAGGAGCTGTATCAGCAGTTTCTGTCCAGCTGCTGCGTGGAGTATGTGTTTTCTATGCTTCTTTTTGCTCTTGCCCCTTAGAGTAGACATCTCAGACACCTTGATGTATGTGTATGAAATGCTTGGAGCAGAGCTGCTGAGCAGCTTATATGACAAGCTGGGTCGCCTCCTGACAAACACAGAGCAGCCATCCTCATGGCAGGTAAGTGGAGAGCTCCAGCTCCAAATGAATTCCTTGCACTAACTACCCTTTTGGAGAGAGGCACTAAGTAGAGGAGCTGCTGTAGATTTTTGTAGAAACAATGGGAATAGTTGTGGCCAGAACTGGTTAGAGAGCATTATGAAAGAGAGATATTGAAGTAGAGTGAAAGTGCAACTTGGTTAGTGGAAACATCTGTTAAAGCTCAGAGCAGTGTGTTTAGAGAGGCAATTGAATTTCAAAAGGTCAGAAAAGTTGTTAGTGTTGAGCAGGTCTGATACAGTCATGTTATCCTTATAGTGTACAACTCAGTTGGGACAGACTAGTTTGCATTGGTAATTGCAATTTGCTAATTCCTGTTGTAAAGTTTGACACGTTGTTGGTGTCTTTTGGAAGCATTTTGCTGCAGCTCACATTATCAGCTCACCAAATTCTGCAAAAAAAAAAAAAAAAAAGCCTGATAGCAGAATTGCAGAAACTGCAAATACATTCAGTCAAGTGATGCCAGCAGCTGACAGACTTCAGTCCAGATAAGGGGGATCTTTGGATAACATCTGCATCATGGGAACTAGTCATAGGTTTTGTGCTGTAGGGATTTATAATCCTAAAATAGGATTTCTGTACTGAGAAAAGTGAGGTGATCAAGTTGTCCCATTCTCTGCAGTCTTAGAGAGACGTATCTCTTCAGTTTAGAGAAGAAAGCTTAAATATGTTTGCTTTGCCATGCCAGTAGTAATGCTGGGACAAGAGTCCCTCTGTGATAGCTAATCAGCATGTATCTGATCACTTTGGTGTGTTGTCAGCATGTTGCTGGCACGGCAGTGATGACCATGAAGCACCAGTGACTGCAGGGCTCCTCGTTCATCAATGTGACAGCCCCATGAGAGTCCAGCCTGGATCCTGATTTGCAGTCCATGCACCTGGAAGCCTTAACATAGTAGTAATCACTCCAGCATACTGAACACATTGCAACCTCAGCAGTACAGGACCTGGTAATATGGCCTTCAGTGAGAGAGAGCATGAGTCCAAGCATGTACCCTTTACTCCCATCTTCCCAGTTCCTTTGATGGTAGTAAATGGAGATATTATCATGTGTAATTTAGCCAAGCATTATTCAGGATGTAGGCTGGAGATATACTAGGTAAGAATAGTGAATATTTTTGAACTTTGTTCTGTGGGATTGGCTTACTAGATAGGATGACACTACACAAAAGCTTACTCATGAAACAATTAGTACATTGCATTAACTGTGATGAAATGAAAACATGAGGCATCATATTTTTCAATGGGAACTGGTCCTGATCATCTTTTGTCAAAACACAACTTAGGATGGGAGCTGTTTAAACATGCTGTGTCACATTTATCTCTGCCCTCAGAGCACATTGGAGTCTGAACCATCCTGTTGATTATTATTATTATTATTATTATCATCATCTTAGCACCAGAGCTGGTTTTAGCTTCCCCACATCTATGGGGTTGTTGAGTGGGACATTATTGGCAGGCCGTGGACTCAACAGACAAATCTTTCTCTCTGGTAGCACACAGAAGCTTTGCTTTATGGGTTCCAATCCATCGCAGAGACTATAGATGTAAACTACTCAGACGTGGTGCCTGGCCTCATCGGGCTCATCCCTCACATCAGCATCAGCAATGTGCAGCTTGCTGATACAGTTATGTTTACTATTGGTAAGTAGACTAGGTGAGGGGAGATGGTATTGAAAGAAGAGGTTGATCTCAGAAATCCTGAGGCTGTTTAACTCTTGCAATACTAATGGTGGGTTCTGTTGCAACACCTGAAATTCCTGGTCCTTAGTGTAAGAATGTGTGTTTGTGGGTATATGCTGGGCCGTGCAGTATTGTAGGATGAAGAAGGGATTCCTGTGCCTTTTATTGTCTGTGCTGATAGGGTTCTGTACAGAGCAGTCTTGACCATGCATTCTGTATCTGCCTAGGGGCCCTCTCAGAGTGGCTGGCTGACCACCCTGTCATGATCAACAATGTTCTACCCCTGGTGTTGCAGGCTCTGGGCAATCCTGAGCTATCTATTTCTAGTGTCTCTACTCTTAAGAAGATCTGCCGTGAATGCAAATATGACTTGCCTCCTTATGCTGCCAACATTGTTGCTGTCTCTCAGGTAACGGAAAGAGTGGTCTAAGGTGGGGTGGGGGAACCTCCAGTCAGTGCATTGGATGCTGCCTGCAGAGCCTTTCTACCTTGTCAGTCATTTCCTTTCCTCTGTCAAGTTTTCACACTTTGAGGCCTTCATTCTTCTCTATACTTCACTTTCCATAATATTTTTACCATCCCGTGCTGCAGATTTATTTGCAAGGGATGGCCTTCCAAATGAAGTTTAACTTTCTCTGTAGCCTGGTCCCACCTGCTTGGAAGTACTTTCATCCCTCTCCAACTGTAGCTTCACCAATGAGCTCTAGTCTCTGTATGCCCATCTGCCAGAAAGTTTCTCCAAATGTAAAAAAAACAAGGGATGGGTGTGCTTCTTGTCTGTGTATACAAGTGGATGGGGAAACATATGTATATATGAGGAATGAATGGAAGGAGAATGTGTGTTTTTTGTCCCTACTCACCACAGGTTGTAAACCATTTTCTAAAGAGCTTGGGCCATTGAAGGTATAGACATGTAATTAAATAATCCTAACCCACAACCATGTTCTCCAAGTGCATTTTAGGTTCTTCGTCGTGGCCTCTGTGCATCACACATATGGGTTTTGCGCCTGCGCAGTGCCTTTGGCTGGAAGATTAACAGCTAACGGTTTTTGGCGGGAACTCCGCTCCCCCTCCCCCCTAGCATTATATAAGGAGCGGAGTGTCCACCATTTTCCAGTCTTTGTGACCGCCATTCATTGTGCCTCGTGCCGCTTCGCTCTCGCTAAGATTATTATTTACCTTCTTGCTTGTTCGAAAATCTCTCCTTTTTCCTACCAAGTTTGCATCCCTTGTTCTTGTTGTTAGTACTTCACTTATATTTCTTCTTAACTTTGCACCATTTTTTCCTATTTATCGTTCCTATTAAAAAAAAAAAAAACCAAAAATATTACTTTCCCGCTTTACTATCTCCTTTTTTCTTCTTTCTACGATGGTGCAATGGGTGGCGTTCCGCAAGTGCAGAAAATGCAGCTCCAAAATGCCCGCTGCGGACCTGCATGATCTGTGCCTCCTTTGTTTGGGGGAAGGGCACAGAACTGATAAGTGCAGCCATTGTTTGGCCTTCTCTAAACAAGCGAGGAAGAACAGGGAGAACCGCCTCCGCAAACTCTTATGGGACCAGGCTCTCCTCCAATCGGACCGGCTGGTGGCTAAGCCTTCCACTGTTGTGGCCCCACCCGAAGGCCGTCCAACTTCGGCTGCCTGCCGCAACGCCCGGCCTCTTCCTCCATTGCTCCGCCCTCACGCCCTTCTGAAGAAGGCGCTCATACCATGGCCGACCAGTCTGTTTCCCTGCCGAGGAAACAAAAGGAAAAAAGAAAGCGCAGCGACTCAGATAAATATCCTGTGCATAAGAAGGCCAAGAAAGATAAGACGGGCAAGCTGGTTAAGAAGCTGAAGAACCCCGAGCAGGCAAACCACCGCCACTCGGGCTCGGCCTCTTCCTCGATTCCGATCCCTGCTTTGGAACTGACCCCCTCGGTCCCGACCATCCAGGCGGCTATGAGGGTTACCCCACCGGGCTCACCGCGCTGACCGACAGCCGAACCCATTCTGGATTCAAGGTGTGGTTCCATCTCTGATGGGGAAATACGAGGTTCTCCACCTAAAGCTCAATCAGCAACCCCGATGCCTCCAATCCCAATGGATACTGAGATCGCCATCTCCCCTCTGAGAAGCCGTAGGAGCCGTTCCTCGGATGCGAGGTCTGATGATTGGTACCACTCCAGGTACTCCTCTGCTCCGAGACGGGAAGAGTACCACTCCGTAGCCTATTATCCAACCTCCAGGGGACAATCTTCACCACCAGCGCCTCGGGAACGTTTCCATTCAACGCCCAGAGACGCCCCGAGGGCCCCATCTAAAGAAAGTGGCAGATCAGAGTCACCAGGAGATTCTTCCTCCAGTGTACCACCCCCCTACTGGATGGAATCCAACAAGTCTGAGGCTGTCTCAACCTCACCGGATGCAGGGGTTGCTTCTCAGGGCCCGGGGTCACCCGAGGAACCTTATATATCGTTTAACGATCTGATGGCCAGACTAGTGAGATCGCTCGATATAGAAGCCCACCAACAGCTAGGACCGAGCACCGATGGTTTTTATGATGTGGACAGGGGCAAACGATCCACATCTATTGCCTTGCCATTTATTACCTTACGGCAGGCAATGACCCAGCCATGGGACCTCCCAGCTCACCCACAACGGACTTCTCGTAAATACGAGTCCATGTATCGGGTGCGGGAAGAGGACATCCCGTTTCTTCTCCATCACCCCAAGCCGAATTCGGTTGTTGTAGAATCCTCGCAGGGTCGGGAAGCCTGTGGACACACCTTACCTCGTGACAAAGGGGGCAGAAATGTTGATTCCCTCGCCCGCCGGGTATACGCAGCTTTGGGCCTTGGTTTACGAATTTCTAATTATGAGGCAACCCTGGCGCGTTACCAATATTTCCTTATGCAACGCCTGGATGCCATCATCGATACCCTCCTGGGAAACCAGGGCGAACTTGCTAAGACTTTTGTTAAGGAAGCTATGCAAGTGGTGGTGCAACAGCTTTCCACCACAAGGCACCACGTGGACTCTGATTCGAGGTCGCTGGTTGGTGCCATTTCCCTCCGCAGACACGCCTGGTTGCGTAATTGCAATTTTCCGGACGAGATGAAGCAGAGAATTGAGGAGATGCCATTCAACGGTTCCGGTCTCTTCCATGCGAGGACAGATAGCAAATTGAAGAAAATCCATGAATCAAGGGTGACGTCCCGTCGTATGGAATTGCAATCTCTACCCCGACGTAAGTGGTCATGGTCACGTCCACAGTACCGTCAACAATTTCCGCCTCGGCAACAGCAACCGCATCAACGTCAGCAGCGTCGCAGGCAACAACCACCCCAGCGCTTCCAACAGGGCCGCCGCTTTGATACGGACAGGCGACAGCGCTGATGCGACGAGCGAACCTCTCCTCTCATTCCAACTCTACCCTCCCCCCTCTCATTTGGGGATCGACTGAAGACTCGGCTCTCCATTTGGGAGTCCATCACATCTGATGGGTGGGTGTTATCTATCATTCAGCACGGATATGGAATCGAATTCAACGTTGTGCCATCACCAAATCCTATCCGCTATACTCCGACTTCCTTGGTACTGTTAGATGAGATTCACCAACTCCTTGCTAAAGGAGCTATTCGTCGCCTGTCATTATCGGAGGGATTCCACGGGTTCTATTCCAGATACTTTACAGTCCCGAAACGAGATGGGGGTCTCAGACCAATATTGGACTTGAGAGCTCTCAATAGATTCATAACACCAAAGAAGTTTCGGATGACCACACTTCAAAGTATTCTCCCGTTGCTGGGAAGAGGGGATTGGTTCGCCTCATTGGATCTGAAGGATGCCTATTTTCATATTTCAATACATCCAAGTTATAGGCGTTTCCTTCGTTTTGCGGTAGACTCTGAAATCTACGAATTCAACGTGCTACCGTTTGGATTAGCCACTGCACAATGGGTTTTTACGAAGTGTATGGCTCCTGTCTGTGCACACCTTCAATTACGTGGAATTCGGATATACCCGTACCTTGATGATTGGTTGCTGGTCTCCGACACAGAAGCAGGACTTTCGTCTGCTGTTGAGTTTACATATGCTCTATTGTACGATCTTGGACTCTGTATTAATCAACAGAAATCTTCCCTTCTCCCTACGCAGGTGATCAACTTTATCAGAGCCCGGCTGGATTTGATGTTGGCAAGAACCTTCCTTCCTCGGGACAGACGGCATGTGATTGCTCAGTGCATCACTCAGATTCGACAAGCAAGAACCGTCCCCGCCCGGTCTATTCAGAGCCTGTTGGGACACATGTCTGCTTCCATCGCTGTGGTTCCGCATGCCAAACTCAGGCTACGTCCCCTTCAACTGTTCTTCAATGGAATGTTTCGACCACAGACAGATCCACCTACCAAACGGATTCGACTTCCAGCTTCCGTTCTTCAGTCCCTGTTATGGTGGATAGACCCAGCCAATCTGACTGTAGGCGTTCTGTTTCGACCCCAGTACCCTACAGTAACACTCGGCACCAATGCGTCCCTGCTGGGATGGGGAGCAATTTGCTCCGATCTACATACCCAGGGGATATGGAGTCACCGGGATTGCAGGAACCATATCAATTTTCTGGAACTTCTTGCCGTTTTCAAAGCCCTGCAATCATTCGAGGATGTGCTTCTACACCAGGTCGTCCAGGTGACCTCAGACAACATGGCGACAGTCTTTTCTTTGAACAAACAAGGTGGAACCCAATCCTGGAAACTAGCCCGCCTGGCCATGCAGATTTGGGACTGGTTCATACTGAGAGGTATCACTCTTCTAGCAGTTCACCTTGCGGGCACAGAAAATACAGACGCGGATCTCTTGAGCAGACATATGTCGCGGTCACACAAATGGGAGCTAGACCATCGGGTTCGCAACATGCTATTTCACCGATGGGGCCAGCCAGACATCGACCTGTTTGCCACACAACGGAACAGGGCATGCACGGCCTCTTGTTCCAGAGCGGGGATGGGTCAGGACTCGCTCGGGGATGCTTTCATGATCCCCTGGACAAATATGACTTTTTATGCTTTCCCTCCGATCCCACTCATCATGAGAGTGTTGGCAAAGATCATTCACGAAGGGGCCACAGGGCTACTGATCACCCCCTGGTGGCCACGCCAGCCATGATTCTCAACTCTCCTTCACGTCTCCCAAGAAGAATTTCTCCAACTCCCTCTTCTTATCTCGTTACCCAGAGGGAGGGCACGATCCGCCACCCAGACTTGCTGTCACTGAAACTGACTGCATGGAGGATACGATGACCAGCTGAGATACATCAATATCGACACCACCAACTGTCCCGGCCATTCCTGCTCAGCAGAGTCTACACCCAGACTACAGTATATTCTCAAATCTGCGCTATGACCATCTACTAGGAAGTTGTACATGGCAAAATGGCAGAGATTCTCTAACTTTGCCAATTTACACTCGTTTCTGGCCCCCTCGGCTTCTGTTTCACAGATACTTCAGTTTCTCTTTGAATTGCATCAGTCTGGACTCAAACCTTCATTCATAAAAGTTTATACAGCAGCGATTTCACATTACCGGGAAACTATACATGGTCTCTTCATTTTTGCTCAACCTCTGATTAAAAGAATTTTGAGAGGATTGAGTAATCTGCATCCAACTATAAGACCTCTAATGCCCACCTGGAGTCTTTCGGTGGTTTTACAAGCACTGACTCGATCATCTTTCGAACTCATGGCGACGATCGATCTGTGCCTTGCTTCATGGAAGACTGCCTTCCTTGTTGCAATGACTTCAGCCCGTAGATCCTCTGAACTCTGCGCCCTTCAGGTAGACCCCCCTTTTCTAAATTTTCATAAGGAAAAAGTGGTTCTTCGGCTGGATCCGTCTTTCCTTCCGAAAGTTGCTACTTTGTTTCACATGCAAAAGGAGATTGTTTTACCGGCATTCTTTCCGACCCCTTCGAATCCAATAGAGCGATCTCTACATATGCTGGACGTTCGTCATTGCTTAGCCTTTTATAGGTCCAGGACTGAGTCTGTTCAGTGTTCCTATAGACTTTTTGGAATATTGGAATATTCGGAACATGACCGAGGCTGTCCAGTCACTTCACAACGTCTTTCGAAATGGATAGTAAATACAGTTGTCCTGTCTTATCAGTTAGCTAAGTTGGACTTGCCATCTACTCCAAGAGGTCATTCTACAAGAGCTGTTGCTGCTTCTTCAGACTTTGCATCAGGGGTCCCGATAGAAGTTGTGTGCAGGGCGGCCATTTGGGCTACCCCGTGTACCTTCGCCAGACATTATAGACTCGATGTCCATGCCAGGCAGGATTGCTCTTTTGGCAGAGCTGTCCTTTCTTCTGTCCTTCGCTGATGACACCTCCCTCCTCCATTTGGGGTAAGCTTGTTATTCTACCCATATGTGTGATGCACAGAGGCCATGACGAAGAAGAGCAGGTTGCTTACCTGTAACTGATGTTCTTTGAGTGGCCATCTGTACAGTCACACAACCCACCCTCCGACCCCGCTTGGTGTCATGGGTGGTCCGACTGTTTTTTTCGATACTATGATCTCTTTGCTATGTGTCGTACCACTACTGAATTTGGCTATCTTGTCATACTGACAAACCTTATTATAAGAACAAACGTTGGTCTTTCAAAGACTGGAAAATGGTGGACACTCTGCTCCTTATATAATGCTGGGGGGAGGGGGAGCGGAGTTCCCGCCAAAAACCGTTAGCTGTTAATCTTCCGGCCAAAGGCACTGCGCAGGCGCAGAACCCATATATGTGACTGCATAGATGGCCACTCGAAGAACATCAGTTACAGGTAAGCAACCTGCTCTTACTGACTCTTAATTCTGAGCGATGTGTACATGGATACTTACAAAAGTTCTCTTGTTCTTTAAGAATATTCTCAGGAATGTGTGTATCAGAATCAATATAGTAAATACCTATCACACTCCTTGAGGTTTTGAATGCAACAGAATAACCTGAATCTATTCCAGCAAGATATCTGCTCACTTATCCTCTCAGCTGGGGAAGTGGAGGGCTTTAAACTATAGTAGATTTGGTCAAGATGTTGCTCAGTTGCTTGCCTGAATGTACTCAATGTATTTTTCTTACACTTCCTTCTGAAAAATACACTTTTAGGGTGTGTAGAAAAGCAGAGTGATGACCCCTCTGCTATGACTCTTGTTGGCATAATGGACCACAGAGACATATTATATGTAATCAACTGTCATTGTCCTCCTGATGGCCCTTTCTCTATTGCAAATCATCCACAAGTGGGACCAATTCTACACTTGCTGATTTATTAATCCCTGAAACATCTAGGAGGCAAACATGGAGGCCCAACCTTTCTGGACCCAGGTATGCCTCCCAGATTTGTGAGCTGCTGATGTGGATAGGGCATTGTTGTAAGTAATCCTCACAGTAAGAAAAACATTCACTTTCACATATCTTTCCCTCTGTAGGATGTGTTAATGAAGCAGATTCACAAGGTAAGATGCTTGCTTTTCTTTTTGTTGTATAGAAGGTCAAAAGGATACAGAAGACATGGCTATCTATCAAGCTGTTACTTTGGCAAACTGAGCATTACAGCAAATCAGAGGAAAATTTAAGAGATTAATGAAAGGAGGTATCCAGATCCTAAAGAGAGTTTAGATAGAGACTGGTTTACCTGTGTCTTAGGATTCTGATATTGTCTATTCTGGTTCTGAACCCCTGGTATCAAAACAGGCTGCTAGACTGAGTCTGCACAAAGCACAGTCTAGATTTAAGCTTGGGATTGACTAAAGGTTATTAAGGGAGGTGGATGACAGTTGAAATGTACTGTAACATAGCTTTCTAAGAGTAGCAAGTGAATTTGAGAATCTTGTCCATCTTGTTCTCTTTCCTCAGACAAGTCAGTGCATGTGGCTGATGCAAGCTCTCGGCTTTTTGCTGTCTGCCCTTCAAGTGGAAGAGATCTTAAAGAACCTGCATTCACTAATTACTCCTTATATCCAGCAACTGGAGAAGTTGGCGGATGAAACAGTGAGTCATTATCACTTGGCAATAGCTGGCTGGGTTCCCTTAAGGAATGATGGGGCCTGCTGAGTGCAAGATGCTGCCTTTTTTCACAAGCAATGCCTAATCCTTGCCATATCTGCTTGCCTTTGCCTGCTTTCCATTGCTTCTGGTTTTTTGTCTGATTCCTACATTGTTTCCTTCAATATGTACTGTTCCCCCACTTCTCCTACAGACAGACACATACACGCACTCTGTTCAGTTACAGATTTCTGCTCCTGGGACCAAAAACTGAGTGCAGTATCAAATATGCTTCCTAGTTCTGTGTCCATTCTTGCTGCCTTCCTTGAGATATGTTATATTAATGGCCCATATCCTGGGTCCAGTGTGAAAACTACAGTGATATCTTCTCTTTCAGCCAAACCCATCCAACAAGCTGGCCATCATCCATATCTTGGGCCTGCTCTCCAACCTCTTTACTACATTGGACATCAGCCACCATGATGATGATCATGAGACCACAGAGGTTAAAAAGTTGCCAGTGCCGCAGGGCCCCAATCCGGTAGGTGTTGCTATAGATTGGGGTAACTTAAGTGGCCTCTTGTCTTCTCTGCCACCACAGGCTGCTTCTCCTGTTAGAGATAGCAAATAATGCCATTGACAATGGTGAAAAATGGCTGATAGACAAATGGTGCATAAAATGGTTGGTTGTGTGCCCTTATGTCTGAATGACCCTTTGTAGATAAGTCACCCAAGAGCATGTGTTACAAACATGGCTGCTAAATAAACAGAAGAGTGGTCAGAACAACCCTTCAGAGAGAGGCATAAACTATCTTTGCATTGGCCCTTGCAGAGCAGGGAGAGCAGTTACATCTAACAATATGACTTTTTGCAGGCCAGTTTGGTTTAAATGCTGTAGGATATATTGAGCAACATGTGGCCCTTCCTGATGTTTTGGCCTGTAACTCTCTTGATTGCCTGCCATAAGCTATACCGGTTAGGGCTGGTGATGTTGTAGGCCAAGACATCTGTTAGGGCCACAAATTGACCACCCCTATGCAGGGCAACTTCTAGTCTCTAGGGATGACTCTAATCCCCTCTGTCTCTTGATCAGAATGGTTATGAGTGCTTTCTACCAGCCAGAACTAGAATGAAGATCACTTTCTGAATTATCTCTTGTGCTGCTTCTACTCTTGTAGGTAGTGGTGGTGCTGCAGCAAGTCTTCCAGCTTATCCAGAAAGTGCTCAGCAAGTGGCTGAATGATGCTCAAGTTGTGGAGGTAATGTTGCTTTCAGATTACAGAGTAACAATCAAATATAAGGGCTTAATCTATTTTGCCTTAGTGGCCATAATAGCTGAACTCAAAAGCTGGACTCACTGCTCTGATTCTTGGCCTTAAAGTACCTGCCAACGAGGTATTCAATTTAAAAGTATATACCCTAGGAATGATACACCTCTATCAAAGATGAAGAAACTCAAAGAGCTGATAGTGCTGCACACTTTTGGATCTGGGCAGGTATCTGATACGTTGTTGAGCTCCATCAATGCCAGACCATGTTAGTGTGCTTCTTGGCACTGGATTTTGTCTTGCTCCTCTTAATTGGCTAGGAATTGCCAAATACTGCAGGACCATGCCCTTTTCTTTGCGATATCTTGTAAGTGTGCTGAACCCAGCAGACAGAGCTAAAAAGTGATGCTTCAGGTAAGTTATCGAGAGTTGTTGTCATCTGTACAGCAGTGGTGCTGTTCAGATTATATGTGGCATTTATGAATGAGAAGTGGCATTTTGCATTACAACAAGTTAAACTGCAGATTTAAACAACTATAAACAACTTTCACAAGTTTGCTATAAGCACAAACAGTTATGCAGAGACTTTCAAAATGTTTTATCTGAGATCAATCTGATTTGATTTTAATTATATGAATTTTATTTAGTAGAAGTAGCCATTTTTATTATACAGCTGCAAGTTTTAATTGATTTGAATCTACACAGTTAATTTAGGGTTTGGGTTAGGTTAGGGTTAATTTTTTGTGCAGTTAAAATCTTTCCCATAATTAATCAGCAGTAGTGTTCTCTGCAGCAAAGGAAGAAACAGGAAGCAAGTTAGTTGCTTGCCTGAGAAGAAGATAGGTATTCTGCTCGGCATGTGCATATATAGAGGAAGGAAGGGAGTGCACAAACCCAGCCATCCTTATGTTACATTTCTCACCAGTGAGCTTCACTGTGCCCACCAGAGACAGGAAAGCTGCAGTTGCTGTCTTCTCCACTCTCCCAAAGAAACTGCCATGAGAATTTCTCCCTTAATTCCCCTCTGCACTTTCTTGGTAGGTTGTTCCCCTGCTCCATCTTTGGGAAACAATACTGAAATATTGATAGATGTAAGACATTTTGTGAGGTAATTGAGGACTAAGCCAGTGGGCAGAGGGTAGCAATTAGAAGGGGGAGCAGAACTTGATCTGGACTCCACCTGTACTCTATGAAGAGAGTTAGGCAGGTTGCCCAGCCTTTGGGCAACAATTAATGTCATAATGCATTTTGTCCATAGCAAATACTAGCTTCAGAGATACTTTAGATCATTGCAAAATTTATTTTTAATTCCTGGCTGAATGTTCAGCTAATGTTCTAAACACAGGTGTTTGATGGACCTTTATTACTTTATTCCAGAAGGCTAAGATTTAGAATTTGTGCATACAAAACAGGAAAAGGTACCTGTATTTTTAATTTGAGTGTTATCACTTTTCAATATTCATACCAGTTTAAACACATCATCTTTACTGCAAATGGTGCTGTAATACAGAGGAGAGGAGAAACCTATCCCTGGAATATTGGTGGGAAATAAGCAGAGGTATGATAATTGGACTGGAGATTTATGGGGAGGGAATGGGAAGATGCAATGTTTTCCCAATCACTGGAAACCATTTTCATGCATCATTCTAATTCGAATTGTCAATGTGCTGTCTTTTGTTAGGTTTATGTCTCAGCTTAGAGCTAGAAACATGTTGGGTTTTTTAAAAAAACAGCTCTGGTTTGTATGGATCTAAGAGATGTGCTGGGCACCATACTAGAAGCTAAACTTTCATATTTGACCCATAACTGTGGTTCCAAATGGAATCATTCATGAGGTAGGAAATGCTATGCAGAAGGGATTAAGGAGCAGCTAATATGAATGTGTGCGTATGGGGTGGGAGCTTCTTTTTTGAATTCTAAGGTACAGCCAGGTTTAGGAAGAACCCGCAGTTGGGTAAGAGAATCATAGATCAGCACTGAGGGAAGTAGATAGGTTTATCTGAGATGTTAATGAAAGGGGTGTATGTGTTTCACTTATCAGTTGATCCTCCACATTCTGATGAGATTGTTACTATACTAAGGGCTGTAGGTCTCTGCTGTGAGCTGTCCTATTGGTTGAGGATAACGGAGTGGTTGAATGGGCAGAAGAGGAACTGATGAAGGATCTGTAGTGTAGGAATTCAAAGTTCAACAAAGAGAAGCATACTGACTTTACACTGAGGAAGCACATTTAATAGTGGGTTAGTAGAAAAATGAGAATGTAAGAAAGTGTTTATTTTCATTTTCATAAAGAAACGTAATTATTATGTTTTTTTCAATCTCTTCCCACAAGTGAACTCTCAACTATTTTCCTAATACAATGACTCCTTTAATTTTTTTCAACAATTTGAAGCTTTTCACAATTCTAAGTAACATCAAAGAGATGGAAGCTTGCACACTGGGATTATAAATCTGGGTCTTGTGTAGGCACATAAGAATATAAGAAAAGCCATACTGGATCAGGCCAAAGATCCATCTAGTCCACCACTCTGTGCACACAATGGCAAACCAGCTGCCCACAAAATCCCTCAGGCAGGATGGGTTCAAGACCTTTTTCTGCCCAAACTCTTCAGTAACTGGTGTATGCAGGCAGGCCACCTCTGGTAAGGGAGGTAGCGCATAGCCAACAAGGCTAGAGGCCACTGATAGTCTCCTTCTTCATGAATCTGACCAATCTCTTTAAAGCCATTCATATTGGTGGCCATCACCACTTCCCATGGCAGTGAATTCCGTATTTTATATGCTGTGAGAAGAGGTATTTCCTTTAATCTGCCTTAAACGTCCCACCAACTGGCTTTATGGGATGATACCAGGTTCAAATGTTATGGAAGAAAGATGTCTCCTTCTCTGCTTTCTCCACACTGTCTTATTTTAAGCACTTCTGTCATGTCTCCTCTTGGTTGCCTTTTTTCTAAGCTGAACAGTCCCAGTTTTTGTAGCTACTTCTCACAGGGGAGTTGCTTCAACCCATTGATCATTTTTGTTGCCCTGCCCTATTGAGTTCCAACGCAATAATGTCCATTTTCAGGTAAGGCAACCAGAACTGAACACAATATTCCAAGTGCATAAGGGAAATAAGATTTTGGCATTCCATTTTCTATTCCATTCCTAATTATGCCTAGCATGGAGTTTGCCTTATTCACAGTAGCTGAACACTGGGTTGACATTTTCATTGAGCTGTCCACTACTACTCCAAGAACTCTTTCTTGCTTAGTCATTGCTACTTCAGATCCCATCAGTGAAGTTGGGATTTTTTGCCCCAATATGCATTACTGTATACTTGCATATATTCAGTTGCATTTGACATTTTGGTTTCCATTCTCCCAGTTTGGAGAAATCCCTTTGGAGTTGGTCACAACCCATTTTGGTTTTAACCACCCTAAAAAGTTTCATGTCATCAGCAAACTTGGCCACCTCACTACCCATTCTTAATTCCAAATCATTTATTAATAGGTTGAAAAGCATTGGTCCTAATACTGAAACCTGTTTCTCTCTATTGGAAGAAACTGCCATTTATCCCCACCCTCTGTCTTCTGTTCTTTAACCAGTTCATGATCCATAAAAGGATACCCCCTCCCCATTTTATTTCCATGACTGCTTTTATTCCCACTGCTTTGCTCAGGAGTCTTTGGTGAAGTACTTTGTTCAAGTAAACAGTGCCTATTGATCACCCTTGTCTGTGTGCTTAATGACATTCTCAAATCACTCCCATAAGTTAGTGATACCTTCCCCTTGCAGAAGTCATGCTGATTTTCCCCATCTGGGCTTATTCCTCTATGTGCTTACTGATTTTACCTTTAATAATGTTTTCAAGCAGTTTACCCAGAACAGATGTTAAGCTGACTGGCTTATAATTTTCTGGATCCCTCCTGGGCCCCTTTTTAAAAATTGTTGTTACATTGACTATTCTCCAATCCTCTGGTACAAGAGCTAATTCTAGGGAAATGTTAAATATTTTGGTTCAGTGATTTCATGTTTGAGTTCTTTGATAACTCTAGGTTACCAGGTGACTTGCTGACTTTCAGTTTGTCAATAAGGTCGAGTTTCATCTTTTGTCACCACTATCTGCCCTAATTCCTCAGACTTGTTTCAGAATAGATAAGCTCAAAGGAAGATATCTGCTCTTCATCCTCTGCTGTGAAGACTGGCAAAAAGAATTAATTGAGCTTTTCTGCAATTTCCATGTCCCCCCTTGGTGTTCCATTAATTCCATTATCATCCAGCAGCCCAACTGCTTTCCTAGCTACTTTCTCTCTTTTGAAATATTTAAATAATTATTTATTGTTAGCAATGTGCTCCAACAATTTCTTTGCTTCTTGAATTGCCTACTTGCATCTCACTTGTGCAAGCTTGCGGTCCTGTCTGTTCTTTTCCTTTGGACAAGGCTTCCATTTTTTGAAGGAAGCTTGCTTCCCCCTAATAGCTTCCTTGACTTTATGCATCAATCATGCTGGTGATTTCCTGGACTTTGTGCTACCTTTTCTCACTTGTGGTATGCATATTATCTGTGCCTTATATTATAGTGCTTTTGAATAATCTCCAAGTGCTTTGAAGTGATTTAAACTTCTTGATTCCTCTCTTCAGCTTTACCAGTTCCCTCATTTTTGAGAAATTTCCTCTTTTGAAGCCAAATTCAACTGTGTCTGACCCCTTTAGAAGTTTTCCATCTAACTGTACATTAAATTTGAAACCAGTGTGGTCAGTGTTCCCTAATGGCTCAGCAACACTTACATCCTGTACTATGTCCTGGGCAGCTCCACATAGAACTAAATCCAGGATTGCCTTCCCTCTGCTTGGCTGCATGACCAACTGCTCTAGGACACAGTTATTTATGACACTGAGAAATTTAACCTCTTTGACAAAACTGGAACATGCATTTATCCAGTCAATGTGTGGGTGGTTGAAGTCTCCTCCATTATTACAGCACTCCCTTTGTGGAAGGCCTCCCTGGTTTCTTTTCCCATCTCAAGATCCCTGAGCTTTTTGAGCTACAAGGATGAATGTTGGACAAATACAAAAGACATGACTCAAAAGCCTTAGAGGTTAGGATATGTAAGCTGCTCTTCCCATAAAGATCTTTGCATGCAAGCAGCTGCCTGAGAGATAGCAGCTTAAAGCATAAAAATTCTGGAGTCAGAGATCCAGTGATGAACCATGTACCTGGTGTGTTTATACCTTGTTCAGGTGTAGAGGGTAGACAGTCCCTACAGCTTTAGATGTTAGATAAATATCTCAATTTCAGTTTGGAGTAGAGGGATGTCTCATTAGAGCTCTGCTCATGGAAAAAAATGTTCTGAAGCAGTGATAGTAATAGAATAGCTGTTGATTGAAATGACACCCCTAATACAAGTTTACGCAGGCCAGCATGTTCTAGGCTCTACAGTGTGGGTGAGCTTCAGACAGTCTGTTTTTCTTGGTCTAACCTATCTCAAAGGATGGGGTGGGAGAGAACCATCTAAGGTGCTTCAAAGGTGTTTGAAGAATGCCAAAATAAATAGCCCTGTAGCTAAATGGATCTTTAGCTGAAGGATAGGTTATTTAGCCACACTTCTGTTGACACAGCCCCTCCTGTCCCCACAGTCTGTGTGCTCCATTTTTGAGAAGTCTGTGAAAACCCTCCTGGATGATTTTGCACCCATGGTGCCTCAGCTGTGTGAGATGCTGGGCCAGATGTATAGCACCATTCCTCAGGCATCTGCCATTGACCTCACTCGCCAGGTAAGTGGAAGCACAAGAATGTGAAGTTCAGAATCTAAGCTGATATCTGTTGAGCAGTTCTTACCAACCTAGTACCTTTGGCTTGCCTTTCCCCCCCAGTATAGATATGGCTTAAAAAAGATGTTCATTTCTTGCACTTCAGCCTCCATGCAGAAAGATTATGTATGTCCATGTGTACACAAAGCTAAGAAACACTGCAGTGTCCCTAAACTAGCTGGTTACCGTATTAGCAGCAAAGGCCTTGTTCATGTTACTGGGCAGTGACAACTAGTTAACCTGAGTACCAGTGACTTACCCAGAGGGCTGGGGGGGATGGAGTAAGATGTGGGATAGATGGGGTATACAAGATTGTTCTGGCTTCAGTTTCCCTTGTCTCTTATATCTCCAGCTGGTTCACATCTTTGCCCATGAGCCGGCCCACTTCCCACCCATCAAGGCGCTCTTTCTTCTCGTCACATCAGTTACACTAACACTCTTTCAGCAAGGTATGTATGCTTTGGCACCCTCACATTTGTTGGGGCTGCCATATTGGTAAGAGGTTTTCATGGTCTTGTTTCTTTGGATTGGCCTGTAGGGTATGTGGAGGTAGGCAGAAGCTCCTCCTCCAAATCATGGTATGCCTATTGAGCTCCAGAAGCCTTCTGCTTTTACAATCATGGTTTTGGCTAATGAGAAGCTCTTGCTGCAGTGGACTGTTTGGCATGCTCCTCCCTATGTATTGGTGCCCAACTGGTGGTGCAGTCTTTGTGTTCCCTTCACACCACCCTTTTGAGATTGAAACTGTGCCCTGTCAGGCTCTGTTTAGACTCCTGAAGGAAGGTGGAGTGAGTAATGTCCTTTACTTCATACTTGACTTTGAGCAGGGGTCAGGAATCACCAGGGGAGTATGTTGTTACATCTTTCAACTTAACACCCCACCACCACCCCTCCGCTCACTGTGAAGTTATCCATATTCATCAGTCTCTCTGTAGCCCAAATAAATTGTCCGGTTGACTCTGCACCCAGTTCCCCTGCTGTCCTGCTCATATTGATTCCTCTTACAGCTCCACTGAATTCTTAGCAAATGTTTGGGCTGACTTTTGCTTTTGTGGAGCTGCCATAATGACATCATGTTAGTCCCAGTTGTTTGTGTACAGTTCCAGTCAAATCAGTAAGCCATAGCACGGGTAGTAGGGTGTGTGCTCCCTTTTCTAGGAGTTTGTTTCTTATCAGAATTGCTGGGGAGCCACCATTGCTTTGAGCGTTGCCCTGTTATTGCCTGACTTTGTCAGACAAAGCTATACTATCAAGACGATGGAAAAAGATTCTCACAATGCGTGATACAATCAGTGCTGAGGGGAGGCATGCTTACCAGCAACCATGCTGGCCATCTGCTACAGAAAATGTCTCAGAATTGTGTTCTTTCCATCCAGGCAGACCTCTGAACTTGGGTGAATGGAAAGTATTGTGTTCAGACTGCCCACCAGGAGGTCTAGCGGAGCTCTAGCAGGTTTCCAGGATTTTTGTGCCCAGTCCACATCTATACTAGATTTGACTTTTGACTTGGGAGTTGCCTTTCAGGACCAAGCATTTTGCGATAACATGTCTCCAGTGTAAATGTGCTAGCTGTTCACATAAAACTGGTGTCCAGTTAGCTCCTGCTTCTCCTTTCCTTCCTTGCTAGGGTGCAATGAGCTTCCCATACCTATCCTTGGTGCTTGGCAGGGGACCCTGGGCAACAGGCCTATTCCTTTGCACTTTCTTTATGTTCTTGGGTTTCCAAGCTCCATGATTTTTGTATGTTTTGTTTCTTTAACTTGCTTCAAGCTGCTCATGTGCCTGCCCTCTTCAACCCCCACCTCTTGCACCCTTCCTTACCTTACTCCTGTTTTCACTTGTAAATTCTTTCTGTATCACATAACTATATGATGTTGAGTTGCTGTTTGTATGATTTTTCTCTTCAGTTACATCTTTATTATATTTTTAGGGCCCAGGGATCATCCTGATATTGTTGATTCATTTATGCAACTCCTGGCACAGGTGTGTTTTAGTTTCTTATTCATTCACTTTCTGTTCTCTCTCTTTCTCTTTTTTAATTCAATTTAAACCTATTTTTAGCTTTCTGTTGACAACGTTTTTTCCTTTTAGTTGAATATCGAGTTTCTCCATCTGTTTCTGTGGAAGTTGAAAACAAAACATTCTTCTTTTTCATAGGTATGAGTTTGCCCCTTCCTTTCCCCAAGGGGCAGTACCTAGTGATGCAAAGTGACTTGTAGATTGGGTTTATCTTTAGGTTACATATTGTGACCTGGTACAGGGACTGCTGCAAAATGGCAAATGTGGTTCAAGAGCAATAGCATTCCAGCCCATGTGTGCAGTGATTCCGAGCGCTTCACAAATGCAGACAGGTTGTTGTGTAGAAATGATCTTATATTCAGTTATTTGGTGGGCTATGTCTATAGACCTGTTGATGGGGCAGCTGATCTAGTTGGGAGTAGAGCAAGGCAGGGAGAGCAGATGAGCCATGACTTGTTTATTGGTTTGATTTCAAAATCCTTCTGTGTTCCATCCCTCAGTTCTCCTGCCGAAGCTTTGGAAATCTGATTTCTTTCAGGTTGAGAATTTGTCATGCAGCTCTGTCTCTAATGCTGTAAATGACATCATGGGAGGAAAATGATGATGGAATACAAACTGCATAAGGGGCTATAGGCAGTATGGGCATCTTTGCAGTAAGTGAAGAATGAACCCCGACTGGATTTGGAAGAGCAGTTAATAAGGCTGGAAACAAGCTGCAATGCTAGGAAATGATGGAGCAGAGAGTGGGGGGGTGGGATCTTGGGTACCACCCTGCTCTTATTACTACATCAAGATGCTTTCTTGTTGGCTCTGGTTTATTGTTCCCTAATGAGGTTGCTGTATATTGTGAGACAGAAAGTACTTGAGCTCTCAGCTCCCTCTTGTGGCAGCTATATAGCTTGCAGGTTTGCTAAGCAATAAAACTAATACGTCTTATACTTTTCTGTAAAACTGAGCTTCTAGAAAATGTAGAAATTTGCTGACAGAACTCTGAACCTTAAAATCAAAATATTATCCTTCTAAGTGTTTGATCTTGTTTGTCGTTTGGTTAAAGGGGTATTGGCTCGCAATTTATCATTAAATACAAATACTGAAATCAATAGAGGTGTGGTCCTGTGGTAGATTTATGTTCTCAGGAAAATACTGGAAGAATCTCATCATCTCGAGAGAGGGTAATGGATAGGAAACTGGAGAAGAATGGAATGTTGCAAGAGGAAAGTGCTTTGGATGGAGGAAAAAATAGGTCAGAGTGAAAGCTATGAAAAGTCCACAGAGGCCTACTTGGGCACCTTCTCACAGTAGTTTAATCTTCCTGGAGCAACTTGGAACGCTTAATCCTCTGAATACCTACATCTGGCCTGAGGTCCTTGCTACAAATCAGGAAGCTCCCTAGAGTGCTGAATGAGGGGGATGAAGAAGATAAGACGTAGGACAGTGATGGTTATTTTGACAAGGACCAGACTAGAGCTTAAAGGGGAGGTGTTTCGGTAAACTCAGAACAATGCAGGTAATGCCTCCCTATATTTATGTTGTTTTATGTATGTCCCCCTTTCCCATTCACACCTTTTCCTTCATGGTTGAATAAATGTTGTTCCTTTAGCCCTGTATGGTTTACAAAAAGCTCAGATTATGAAATGTCTGGGCTTGGCAGTGGCTCTGGGGCTGCATACAGTTGCCCCCTGGTTTCTTTCACTCCTTATGTAGGAGCTGTGAAACCTAGCAACCTGAAGATGCTATATCCACTCTCTTTGGTCCACTGGCACCCTCATCTTCTGTTTCATCTGTGAATCTAGGTCCCTCTGCACTCTTTGTCTTAATCTCAGGCCCCTCCCAACAAGGTTGGACAAAAAGAAGGATCACATAGGTGTTATACTGGTGCTAAAGATAATCATTAAATGGTGATATATTCAGACTATGTTCGTCAACAAACTTGCAGGTGTGGTTGAGCTCTGACGCTTGCGTTATTGACCATGCTTCTTAAAATCCTAATTTTTAGTCACTACTTAGAATTTTTAAGTATCTCTGTCTACTGGTCAGTGTTCAAACCCTGATTGGCTACCATATAAGTAGTGATTATATGCACATTTTCCCCCAGATTGTGTCCCATTGCCTGGTTCTGCCTAGGAGACATTGATCTCTTCCAGTAGGAAAAATCCAAATGCATTGCTCAACAGACTAGGGCCTCCTGGTTTTCTGGCAGCCTTTGCGCTTCCCTTTCTAGTTAGCATCATTTCAGTGAAAAATTATTCTGTGTTTCTTCTAAGCTGTTGAGGGGTTCGCTAAGTGAACTGACTGCAGAAGAACATACCAGTTGTCCTCTTGCTGGCTAAATCAGCTTGGAATTTTACATTGCCTGTGAAACTTCATTTTAGAGAAATGTATATGACTTTGTGAGGTCTCAACACATAGTACAGTAATTTTCTTCTGAAGAGACATGTTGGCCCCACCTTTCTTCACTGAAATTGCAGTTGTTTCCAAAATGGTTGCAATAAATAAACAAATTCTTCAAAAGTCCCAGAAGTTGACAAGAGCATGAGAGTCATTCAAGAGATCACTTAAGAATGCATGTAGAATAACTTGTTTTGATGCTTGTATTGTGCCCTTGAAAAGCCAAACTAAAGTCTCATTAAATGCCTATATTTTGACTGCAAAAACTCGGATGCCTTAGTACATCTAAAGCCAAAGTTCCAGAACCATTCGAAATGGTTCTCATGCTGCACTCCAGACTGAAGATGAGTATGGAAGACCCAGATATTAACATAGTATGGCAAGAAGCAACTGTCATGTCTGTGACTCCATACATAGCCATTAGGCCTTTGCTCATTCTCTGGTTTAAAAAACAAAACAAAGGAGCTTTTAAATATTCCACCTCCAAGCCTGGCAGTCCTACAAGGCACCTTAGAGTATTAAGATGCAATAAAATTAATTTTAAACTCATATTTAAAGAACTTAAATTACAGCAGTTCACACCTAAAGTCTTCATCTTCCAAACACTGTGCTAAAAAGATGGAGTTCATGCATCCAAATATAGCAGTGGAGCTTCAGACCCCTAGAGAGGGATTCCAAAGTATGCGTGCCATCATGAAGACCCCTGCTGCTTCTGACTACAAGCCTATATTTTCTTATATGTGTGGCATTTGGAGCAGGGACTAAAATGATATAAGCAAACGAGAAAGAATGTATTAATGTAGGAAAAGGCAGTAAGTTCCCAAACTGTAGATCCCTTTGCATTCCAGATGAGACAAAGGGGAAAGGGCTGAATTTGAAAAGGCAGCTCCTGAAGTTTGACAAGTCCCCAACATTTGCAGGCATCTGATGAGCAGAAACCTCTTGAATCGCACCTGGGTCTCCTTTTTGGACTCAGATAACTTCAGCTGACAAAAGACAATAGAAGACCTGTGTCAACAGTTGCTGTTTGCCTGCAGTGCCCATCTGGTCTTTCCATTTTTGGGTCATTCTCTGTAAGCAGTTGAGTTAAAAGGTGCTGGTTATATTGATTTGATAGAGGTCTCTTATCCCAGGACAGTTTCCTCCCCTATCATTTGCAGTATGAAAACAGATCAGTAGCTAAGACTCAATATGTTAGAATTCAATAACTAGGCATGCAATGATGTTGCATTCCCAGTGAAATGGACTGGTATATTGTGGAGCATAAAAGGGAATATTTATACTAGTGTCTGTGAAAATTGTCTCACTAGGGTTAAGTATTTCTAGCACTTCTGTTTTCCTGAAATTGGTGTGTGTTGGTGCTTAAAGAAGATTGGGGGGGGGGGGGAATAAGAGAATAAAGGAATTATATTTTATTGGACTGAATCTGATTGCTTAAAATGTTGAACTATAAGGATTTTTGTGTGCTATTATGAGGTGCTTTTGAGCTGGAGGACTGAAAGAATAATTGTTACTATTATTCTTTCTTTTGTGAGGACCCCAAGGCAGCTTACATAGCTCCATTATATCCTTACAAGAACAATCCTGTAAGGTAGGTTGGACTGAGAGTGAGTGACAGGTCCAAAGTCTCCCAATGAGCTCCATGGTCAAGTAGGGACTAAAACCCAGAACTCTTGGGGCCCCACTCCAACACTCAGAAATATTGCACCACACCATATACTGTTACGAGCATATTGTGAACTAGGACCTAGTTTCTCTAAAAAGAGAGAGAGAAGTCAATTGTATACATAGGCCTTCATAAAAATTAATTCTGCATAGTTCATGTTGCACTACATGGACAAATGCATCTATAAGATTATGAAGATGTTTGTGGTCTGACATTTAATTTAACCCTTTCCCTAGCCTTGCTACCTTTTTGTTTGCTGTATGGCACAAAAGGCAATTATGTGTTGAGCATATTTATTTCTATTTCCACTTGCTGTAAGGCAACAGCAGTTTTTAGTGGAACATTAAGCATAGCCTTAACAATGTAGAGCTGTTGTGATTCTTGCAAATTAGCACAAGGCCAGTTCTAGATAAGCAATAGCATAGACAAGCTTGAAGTTCAGTTCAACTGCTACTCATTTTTACCATTGTCTGATGGAAAGGGACATAATTCATTGTTCCTTATGTCTTTGGGTGTGAAAGCAAGAATAAGGGCAGGAAAAATTGGAACTGGGAAGACAAAAATATTGAAATCAGTCATTACACCTGTGACTGCTGTCATGAGAATCCATTTTTTGGTACAACAAGCAAGACATCTGCCTTTTCTGAAGATGATACTTTAGTGATAGAACAAATATTCCACATTGTTCAGTGGGTGTAGAAGTTGGCTAGGGGACTGCTTGCTGCTAGCCAAAGGCAACCTTCCCCAGTCTGGTACTCTTCAGGTATTTTGGACTTTAATTCCCAGTATTTCTGATGTTGGCCATGCTGACTGGGGCCAGTGAAATTGAAAATATCCAGAGAGCTCCAGGCTAGGGAAAATTGGTCTAAAACTTTATGTTTGGGAATGTTTCTCAGCCTTTTAGGAATGGGGTGAGTGCTGTCCATGGTGCTGAAATGACTCTGCTTGTGAAGTTCTTGGCTCTACTTTGCTGAGATATATTGCAAGACATAATATATAACCTCACAAGTAAAACCAGACATCAAGAGACTTAATAGAATTCTGCACCTGCATTGTTCCCCTTTCCTGCTGGTCCACAGTGAAATTCCCATATCTGTGTATATCTTCATGTGTAGCGATGTAGATGACTGTTTGCTAGGTAATGCTTCAATGCCATGCCTCCAGAGCCTTAATTACCTGGAGCCCTATATACCCTTAACTTCAGAAGTGCCCTGCTCATGGCCTTTCCCTTTCTCCCATATCTGGCTAACTGTGCACCATGGCTGATGGCCAGGTAAGTGCACATGCAAGCCTTGGCCAGGGGGCTGCTCTGTGCTACCTGCTTGCCCCTGGCTTGCCAGAGCTGTGTTTATTCTCTATGTATCTGTGTGTGCTTTGCAGGCACTCAAACGGAAACCTGACTTATTCCTGTGTAGCAGCCTGGATGTCAAGGCAGTGTTCCACTGTGGTGAGTAGCAAGCCCCATAAGACATAGCTTTCTTGCAATAATTGGGGAAGGTACTTTAGTTAAGATCATTAAATGTTCACAGGAATGCAAGAAATGAAACAAAATCCTGTATTCTTTATATGGAAACATCCACCAAATCAGACAGGCTAAAACCCCTTGTAATGTCTCAATGAGAAGGGCAGGCTACTTTTCTTCCTGCCCATGTGGAAAGCTTTGTTTGCCTGTTGCTTTCCCTTTAGGTGTGATCTCCTTGAAATTCCCTGAAGCACCAACTGTCAAAGCTGCTTGTGGTTTTTTTGTGAGTATGTTGCCTTGAATATATTTAGGATTGGCTGATGATACCTGTAGAGCTTGTGTTTGAGCCTGGTGGCTTCAAAAGGACAGAAGAACACTTAGACATGGCAAAAGACCCCCCCCCCCAATAAGTCAGGAAGGTGTGTCTTTTATAAATGGTCACTTCTTATGCAAAGGTTTTGGGAGCGCTTTGGTGGAACAGAAAAACATCTCCCCCTATCTGTCTATGCATCCACTCTGTTTGGTTGAGTCCCATGTACAAAAAAGGGGCAGTCTCTCCCTTGAGGATCAAGTCTTTGTTTTTCAAGTAACCACAAGACTGCTTGCAGCATCTCTTTCTCACCAATTGTTTCTTACAGACTGAATTGCTGCCACGTTGTGGGGAGATTCCACCTGTGGGACAAGTAGTACATGAGAATGGTAAAATGCTGCTGCAGGCTGTGCTTGAGGTAAGGAATGGGGATTTTCAGGCAGTGCTAAACAACAAAAGGAAATTATTGAAAGGTGTAGTGTTCACAGATATACTGTACATATTCCAGTGTGTTTAATTTATTAAGCTATCATTACCAGAAAATATCCTTGGTGGACTTGCAATCTGATCCTGTCCATGTTTACTTGGAAGTAAATTCTACTAAATTCAGTGGAGCATTCCTCTAAGTAAGCGTGAATCTGATTTCCCATTTGACGCTTCCTTAAATACACTGAAGCCCTTGATGCAGTCTGCTGGAGCATTCCTAGGTCTGTAATGTTAAGCCTCTCTTACAGAGCAGACTCTGGAAAAGGTTAATTGGATTTGCTCCATCCTTGCAGGGCATAGGTGGCCAAGCCTCACGCAATTTGATGGATCACTTTGCTGAAATCCTCTTTGCCCTCAACAAGCATTGCTTCAGTTACTTGAGCATCTGGATCAAGGAGGTGATGCAGCAAGATGGCTTTCCATCAGCCCGTGTTAGCCCTGAGCAGAAGGAAATCTTCAGCCAGCAAATTCTTAGGTATGTTCCCTGGTATGCCTTTTCTAAGAAATAGAATTGAGGAAGAGTGTGTACAGGGATGGGGGGAGTGTCCCCTCCTCTGGAATGGTCTCCAACATTGAGAGGAGTGAGCCTGACATACATTCTAGGTCTGCTTCACCTGTTCTATGCAGTGAGTTCTTCAAGTTCTCTGCAGTCTCCCAGATTCCATGGTGGAAAAGAAGCCTAGGATCCTTGGTGGGACACATTCCATACAGCCAGAAGCTGATTTGACTATCTCAGTTTAATGTTTTGTGAAAGAAACAGCACTAACATTTCCTTAACTAAAACAAATTAAAATCTTCAAAAAGGCACAAAGTAGTTAAAGTATAAGTAAAGAAAGGATACAAGGAAAGCAAACAAGAATATGGTTTCTAAGCTAATATTCAGATTTCCATGCTTGGAGTGAGATGATTACAAGATGTTGCTTCAGTTTTCCTTTAAACTTATGTTAGGTTGCTACTTAACAACTTAAGTAAGTTGTTGTTTGAGGAGCTATGATTTTATCACCACTGTTGTCATGCATGAAATTCAGAGCTCTGCTGAATGCAGGTTACCAATATATCTCTCTTGTTTGATTACCTCCCTAGAGAATCCCCCTACTAAACTCATACTACTTCAGTCCGGCTGAAATCTCACCTGTTGTCAAAAAGACAGCCTGCTTTGTGTAAACAGGACAGTAAGATTACATTTATACAGGCTACTTGCTTGCTTGCTTGAGCTGCCAAGGAGAACCACTCAATTAATCCATCTATTGATAAGCAGAAATGAATTTCTGTGGCAGGAACAAATAGGAAGTTAGTTATATAAGATGTTATAGTGGAGTACAGCGGTGAGAATAATACCCACTTGGAGCATGCAGTGCATAAGCTCTTCGTAGATACACACGTGTCCTTATGTGCAGAAATCTCTGGTCTAGTACTAGTCGTCAGTTCATGTGTCACAAGCCTCCATTCTCCTCATATGCCACTTTCCATCAGTTTTGTGTCAGTCTTTTACCATTCTTCCTCTGTGTTAGCAGAGAACGTGTGAACAAACGACGTGTGAAGGAGATGGTGAAGGAGTTTACACTGCTTTGCCGGGGACTTCATGGTACGGAATACACAGCAGACTACTGAGGAGCTACGTAGAAGGAACTTGAGCATGAACAGAACTGCGACTACCTGCCGCTGCTCGATGCTGCTACTGAATTGACTTGTATGATGATAAATCTTCAACTAACCTGCTGAAGCTGCTCCTCTTAAGAATGGGCTGTTCTCCATCCTTCCTGCATGTTCCGAGGCAGCAGACTGTAAGGGAGCAGAGGCTGGAGCTGAGGACAGACCTCTTCCCTTGGACTGGTGCAATGATTGCCCCTTGCCTCCCTGGCACAATCCTGTAGACATATCTGTGGCATTGTCTGTTCCTAAAGAGTCTGCCCTTGCCCTGCATGAGGCAGCTTGTGTCTGGTGTCTGACTGAAGTGGAAGGCCATGCAGTCTTGAATTATATTAAGGCCTTTTCTAAGCTGTGGTTGTTGGTGAATTGTGGGAGGGAAGAGATACTTTGGGGGCAATATGTGCAGGGAAGGTCAAATCTGTGGCACTGGCAATGGCACAAGTCTTGCTGCGCTAGCCAAACTGAATAAATAGTGCTGTGATGTCCTTCTGGAAAAAACAAAATCCAAATTCAGCAACAAGGTATCAGAAGGATGCAAGGACAGCTTCTAAGAAGCCAAGCATCCCTTTCATCCTTGGCATACCTTGAAGCACTGGTGAAGAGAGGGCTACTGCTAGCAGCCCTTCAAATCCTCCTTTTGCATCCTCTGAACAATCCATAGGAGCATCTTGCATTGATGGTATTATGCTCATCTCTTCAGAGTTACGTAGATATGAATGACTGTTGCTAGGTCCACTGTAGAAAGAGTTGCAGCTGCCTTCATGGGATTTGATGGGAAATGCTCCTGGTTAATTCTGTAACTGAAGATCACAATGTAGTAGATCCAGGAGAGTGCTACAACTATTGTGAGTAGCATGGGGAAGGATTAGGAAGAGGAAACAGTTGCATTCATATTGGTGTCACAGGACTAGAGATTGCTAGAGTTGAGCCAAATGTGCAGCTTGGACCCATTCTAAGAAGAAATTCAAAGCATCCTCTCTTCTCTCCCGCCCACAACCAGGAAAAACTTAAGCAACTTTCATACAGGGTCCTAACTCAGGGTTTGCTGCCATATTGTCCAGCTCCAGGTAAAAATTAATATTCATGAAAAGTGACTTGGACTAATATGGACTCAAAATTTCTCTAGTCTGTTTAATGACAGCGCACCAAATACACCACTGAGCTGCCTGAAGAACCCTATCTAGGTGACAGCATGATATCTACTAAAGCAGAGGTAGGCAACCAGGTGATCTTCGGATCTTTTGGACTGCAATTCCCATAATTGCTTACATTGCCCATCTAGGCTAGAGCTTATGGAAGTTGTAGCCCATAACTGCTGGAGAGTATCAGGTTGCCAACCCCTATTGTAGAAGCTCATGTACAGGTGAATTAAAGTTTCTGCATTTGCAAAGCACAATTTTGGAGGAAAGAGCAGGCTTATCCCAGGAGAACACAGGATGAACTAAATTTGGCGTCTATGTAAATCTAATGCACAGAGCAATCTTAACCCCTGCCAAAGGTCCGCTGAGAGTGGTTCCAATTTAGGTACATGTAATGACTCTGCACCTGGAAAGCAAAGTAAAAATGTTGTGCAAGCCTGACTTTAGTTGCTGCCTTCACTGGGGAAAAAATACTCTCCAATTAGATGAGAAACCTCTAGATCAGATGTCATTACTAATCTACTCAGGTTGATTTTTAATCAGTTAAGGTATTTGGTAACGTTTCAGAGCAAAACAAAGACTTTTACAGCTGGGCTGTTATGAGTTAGGGTTAGCAGATTAGTGAATGGCGAATTAAGGTCTGTGAGTTGGGTTGTGAGAAAGTCTGGAACGGCTGAATTCATTTTCACAATACACTAATAGGGGCAGTTGAGTGTATTGGGAAAAATGTTGCAGTCTATTTTCAGTATCAAATATGTGGGAAGCAAACTAGATGTGGTGAACTTAGTCCTATTTTCTACCCACCCTGCTGCTGTCTTGTAGTGAGGAGAGGAGGTGGGGCGGGTGAAGTCAAGTTGGCCAAGTCCTTTTTGCAGCTGCGGTAGAGAAGCAAAGGGGTCTTGGTGCTGGCCCAGCAGTGCTGCATTCCATTCTCTGACTAGAGATAACTGTGGTGGGTGGGTTTTGTTTCTCTCCAACCTGTACAGCCCTGATATGAACAGAACTTGTGGAAGGGGAAGGACTCACTGGGAACTTCTACAGACTGGGTTCTGAGTTCCTCAGGATTCTTTAGGGATGCATACCTGGCATACACTGCCTTCTAGGTTTGTGTGGGATGCAGTGGTTCATATTTCCTTCTATGGGTTTTATTTCCAGATCTTGGTGATTGTGTTTAGTTTTCTTTACTCTGAGGTTATTCAGGAAATAGAGCATGTTTATTTGTACATGCGCACATTGCCATTTACTTTGAGCTCTGGAACGTAACCTTAAGCCCTTACTTTATGGTGGTCTCTCTCTTCGGTGATGGTGTGTGGAAGGAAAAGGTCTCTTACCATCATGAGTTCCCCAGCTCATATAATAGGTGACCATGTAAGCTAAATGGGGAAGCTGTGACTCTCCAGATATTGTCATACTGCAAGTCCCATCAGCCCTAGCCAACATAGGTAATGGTGAGGAATAATGGGAATTGCAGTTAACAATTCCTATAGCCCCACATATTCCTCATCTTGGATAAAAAATGGCAGCATTCCAGATCTTGGCTGCAAGAATGCCCTAGTTATTGCATTCCAGCCAATGATAAGCAAGGCAAGTAAGAATTTTCTTCCCAATCTGCAGCTACCAGGTGTATTTTACATTTGTATCCCCTGCTGCACCAGCATACTTGGCTAGATGGTAGCACTGACCAGGTGTGGTCTATGTGCCTAACATGGAACGAAACTGTAATGGCAAAGCACAGGTATATATTCATGGCAATTAGGATCTTGCAGTTTGCCCACACTATCATCTCTTGAGGGCAATGATAGTTGATAAGACAACCCCATTACAGCATAGCAGAAATGTGCCAAAGTCTCAATAGTGAAGTCTCTTGCAATCCAGCTAACAGGATTTTAAAGTAAAATTATTAGTGAATATGGGGTGGGGGAATACTAGATGGACAACAGAGATGCATGTTATATATCTGTATGGGCATGTGTATGACTTTACATAAGTATATGCATATACAAACACTAATTCCCTCTAGTAGCAAATTCAGATGGTGTGTGCCAACACAACTGTAGCCTAATTAGGTGGACTGAAAAACACAGAGGTATCAGCATGGTCAGGGACTCCCAAAGTTTACAGAAATGCCCCACCCTGCCAAGCAATAACCTATGGGAGTTTTTTTTTTTTTTAAGAGTCCAGTGAAGCAAAGCAAGTGTTATGTGGGGCCAGGGGAATAGAATGGGGCATACTAGAGAAGAGAGTGGTTGGCTGGAACCCTGAACAGGGGGTTGAAATATACAGGGTATATTATGAATGGCTTGATGTGTTTGCCAAAGTACCACATGTGCATGTTAGAATTAGCCAGCCAGAAGCGTCACTTAGTCCAGACCCCATCTTGATGCAGGAAATCCAGAGCTTAAGCATCATTTTGTCAACATCAGTTAAATTGATAATTGTTCTTTCTGTAGTCTTCTACTATTTACTGGAAGAATTGATGTTGGACATTAATTTTAAAGATGAATGGCTACAGGTAGACACACAGTACATTTTCCCTACCACTGTATATCTCTGAGGACAGATCAGCCAAGAAGCTTGGACCTCCAGCACTCACCTTTTAAAATTAACGTGTGGTTATTAAATAGATCATGTGAATTCCTGCATTAATATATGACCATGGAAAATGGTGGCAAGAGCTATTCAGCCAGATTAAGCTAATCTCTTCTGCTTCCTTTTAATGAGGAGTAGGTGTACCTCAGTGATAGGTGTGAGTTCAGCTATTGACAGTTGAAAGCAACACTAGTCTGCAGGGTTTGGTTCTCTTGCATTCTGACCCTGCTTTCTCTAAAGTAAGGATGGGTATCATGTGGCTTCTAAGTTCTCAACAGAAGAACCAATGAGAAGATGTACCCTTCCAGATATTTTGGCAGATACTGCCTACTTGCCCTGCTTTAAAGCCTGTTCCGTAAGCCCAGAACCCCCAAGTGCCACTCTAAGCAGAACTCATTGGAGAAGATTACATTCCCTTACTCATCCTGAGAAGCAGCCTATCTGCACTGCTGCCAACCCTATACAGTCAAGGACTAGTGTGCTGCTAGCAAGCACAGCCATGTTCATGGGACTCTGTTCCCACCTCTATAATGTCTTGCAGCCGACAGTGACAGATTTGGCATCTCTGTCCATTTTCAGGATGGAACATACAATTACTTCTTCCTTTCAGTTGCCCAAGTAACAAATCACATATCTGTCCCAGAACCCTACTGAACTTCAAAACTGCAGTTGCTCCTCTCATCAACAAATGACTAGGTAGGCTGTGAAGGCTTATCAATGGCTTCTAGTTCTGATGACTATAGACTCTCTGCTATCAAAGCCAGCATGCTTACATACACCAGTTGTTGGGGAACATAAGCAAGAAGTTTCCCATGGGCAATTAGTTGGCCACCGTATAAACAGAATATTGGACTAGATGGACCCTTTGTCTGATTCAGCATGGCTCTTACGATGTATGTCATAAAAGCATAGCTGCAAGTGAGCTCTGCAAGGTTTCATGGCATTTGTTCACTAAGAATATTGGAGTTCCTAGTTCTGGAGTTAATGAGTTCACTTGGGTTATGGATTTCCTGACCTAACATCAGATAAACCAATTATGGAAATTGGTTGGGCTATATAAATTCCTCCTTGTGAGCCTTTTGTGCTCAACTAAAGAAGTGGGTTAGGGAAGGAGAAAGACATGCAACTAAATTACTTCACCATTAACCTTACTTGGAATAACAAGGACTACAAGTAGACTCTTTATTAAGCCCGTTTTTTTCCAATTACAATTTATTTAAACTTACAGTTTTACATGAGGCAGTATCTCAACTTCTGGGGTGTAAATCCGTATTTGGTGTTTGTATTCTGTAACATGTACTTAATGGCACTGATTCTTGCTTGGATGGTATGGACTTACACACCACTGACAGGTGTGCTACATTTTAAAAGGGGTTCTGCATTGTCTGTGATCAGTAGAAATAACTATTGAGCACCAGAAGCTTAGCCAGGTGTGTGCATAGATTCACATTTGTGAAAGTATCTTGTGCATCTCCTGGCCTTATACTGGGAAAGAAATTTCAGACACAGATCAGCACCTTTCACTTCTTTCATTTTATACCTCTATTAATGCGCAAAAATTGCCTCCCAACTATCTCAGGAGTGATCTGGGCCCAGTTTTACCCCAGGTATCTACTACAACTATTCAAGGTCCCGTTGTTGAAGATTCTGTCCTGATTCCAAATTCTTTCATTTCTAATCCTACCTCCCTGCTGGGATACTTTAAAAACCATCAGAAAAACGTTTGTGATGCCAAATTCCACCCTTAATGGCAGATCCTTTCTAGAAATCTTTCACATACCTAACATCAGTACCTTGTGCATAAAGCCAAGAATCAACCAGACTCTGGAAGCTGTCCTCCTACAATCCACCCACCCACCTCCCTGCCATCCTTTATGGAAATTGATCCTAGATAAACAAATATATGAACTGTTTCTAAGGGGCTTCTGGGCAATGGCAAGAGGGCCTTGTTTTCTCATTTTGACTTTGGATAATGAAACTTTCTCACATATCCTTGGTAGGCAATTCAGCTTATGGCAATATTACTGTCCAAGGTGTTCATCAGTGTATCAATGCCTAGAAGAAATTTCAGACTGCAGGTTTGTTGTCGAAAGCTCCCTGACATTCTTCCTTACCAACTACTCTACTACTAATGCAGTGGCCACTAGACCTTGCTAGACTGGGGTAAATGAAACACAATTGTTAAAATAGCAAATTTGATTTTAGTCATTTTTGTATTTCAAATGTTTTATCTGGTAGCTTACTTCGCTTCTCCTCCTTATCTATTTCTTGTTAAAGAGTAATCTAAGCAAGTGAATGGCCAACTCAAGCCACAAATGGGGACAGAGAAGTTGTTTACCACTATCACCACCACCCTTACCCCAGAACTAACCAACAGCTTTATGTTACTCAATGAACTTGAGTGGAACTTGCAGCATAGGGAGAGTAGTTCTACTTTTCTAAGCTGGCAGAAAAGTACACTTCCAGCAAATGCGAAGTACTATATGCCACAGCATATGCTGATCTGTCCCTCTGCTGTGCGAAGTGCTACACTAGGCCACATGCAGCATGTTGATGCTTGCCTTAAAATGACTTTCAATCCAGGCCATGTTCACCCATACCCCCTAGGCTCAAGCAAGGGAAGGCAACTTTGCCCACTGTCTGTGACGCTCTGTGTCATCCACAGGGTTCATCTTCATAGGCAATGGCAATGCCTCGCCGCCCCACCACAGCTTTTGTGACGGCTGTCTGCCCCAGCTGCTGCTCTAGCCCCCGCCAGCTGCGTGACTCCAGGAATGAAGCTAAAACAGAAAGAGTGATTATCAGCAGAAATGGAGACAGAGTCCAAACGCCACAAGGGAACAGAGCACACAGACAGTCTATTTCAGCCTTCCCCAACCTAGTTTCCACCAGATGCATTGGACTTCTACTCCCATCAAACCCCGTGAGCACAGCCAATGCTCATGAAAGCTAGGAGTTGTAGTCCCAACCAACTGGAGGCCTCAGGATGAATCCAACAGGGGACTACTTCATGTCACCCTGCTCTTCCTCTAAGTAGTCAACAAATGGCAATAGTGAATGGATTCAGAAGACTAAGCTCATCTCTTGCTGAATGCTCCTATCAATTAGTCGCCTGCAGCTTTAAGGCTGACTTAAACATTGTCTTTTTCTCTACCAACAGCAGCAGCTATTAACTTGGAAGACCAACTCTGTTTGATAAGGTCTTACCACCATATAATAATATACACCTTTTTATATAAGCAAAGTTCATGGAGCTTTGCTTTTGGCCACATACCTCCTGGGCTGATCTCAGCCAAAGTCTGCTTATGGCTTTGGCAGGCCACAGCAGTGCCAGGGCTTGATTCCTTGTCTTGTGACTTGTAAAGGCGAGTTGACTGCAGCTCTCCAGTGATTAATGAAATGCTGGGTTCATTGTTGGTCTCTGTCAGCTTTTCTGGGAAAGGGATGTGGTCACATGATCCTGCAGACATCAGAAAATAAAGGTACCTAAATTAGTTCCTAACTAATGTTGCCTAAGAACGTTTTCAGATATAGTGTATGGTGTGGTCTGAAGTAGTACAATCCAGAAAAGACTAGAGAGATTATATTTCAGTGCCTCCTGCTGTAAAATTCCTTCTGCCTCCATATGGGATGAAGCAGAGTGGCAGCAGATACCTCTGGTTTGTGCTGCTGCAGCAAGAGACGGTGCCTACGGAACAAGGCCAAGGGTGAAATCACAAGGCATGGTCCTGAGAATCTCAGTTTAAAGATGTGACCATGCAGGATTTTAAAGGGTTGAATGACAGGGTTGAATTGTAAAGTCTCTTAGCACCAGCTGTGCAAGGAGCAGGAATCACTGCTTGTTACCTGTGCCCATTTCTGTAACTGAACCCACCATTACCTGGTAGGAGGTGGCGGAAATCTGTGACATAAGCGCCTGTCCAGGTCCGTGCTGGATTGCATGCTATTTCCATCTCATAGGGTGTGATCAGAGGACGGTAGAAGTCAGTGGAGTCAAGTAAGGAGTTCTGTGGGCAGGCTACCAACACAAAGATATCCACTTCTAGAAAGTTTGCCAGCTTTGCAGGGTTAAGTTTGCCCACTGCTAGGGTATATGCACGTTTGCCTGCCCAGTGAATGATTTCTCGCAGATGCTGCAAAACAGACAAGTAGTCAGCCACACCAAGAGTGCCCACCACGATACCCACAACCTGGGCATCCCGTGCTCGCTCCACAAGGTAGAGGCGTCGACGCAGGGCCCGGTTCACATCCAGTGTTTCCCATCGGCCTTGCCCTGTCTTTGGATCAAAGGAACTGAAGGAGCACCGATTCCAGGTCAGCATGAAGTTGGTGAGCTCTGGGCCTTCACAACCCACATAGAACATTGTGTAGTTATCAAAACCATACTGTTCATTGACTACAAAACGCCGTCCAAATTGCTGCACCAGCCCAGAAATTGGCTGGGCTGAATCAGGATCATCTTTGCTGTCCAACTGGGAGAATACCACATTGGGATACCTGGGGTACAGTTGAGAAGCCAGGTCATCTAAATGAAGAGAGACAATTTAAAAAATCACCCACATGTAGCAATTAAGAGTATGACCCTACCAACATTTTCTCACTGCTGCAAATAACCCCTATGGAAAGGGAAGGCTCCTTTTATGTCAGAGGTCACAGACATATGCCAGAGACTGAATAGGCACATGCACCATTCCATAAAACAAGAAGCAGAACGTAAGGCTGCAGTAGCCAAGGTTGGATCAAGACTAATCAGAGTTGCATAGCAAAAATTATTTCAGAGGTTTGCCAAGTCCCTATCTAGAAATATAAACTGAAATACTCAGCATAGTTAAAATGATACTGACTTCCTCTTTGCTGTACATTGCCTGCGCAGAAACTATTCAGTTAGTTGGGGTGGGGAGGAATGTGTAGTGCTTCAGACGTTGGTGGCCTGCAGCTCCCATCAGCCCTAGCCCACATTTCCCATCCCTGCATTAACATCCCCTTAACAGTTGCTTGCACATTAACTGGCTAGCTTCCTGGCTCCATTCACGCAAAACAGAGGAAACGGCATTGCTGCCTGTGGTGCACTTTTGCCTTTTAATATTAGAAGGTAGTGTTATTGACCTTGCTGTACAAAATTACTGGAACAGCGGAATAGCAACTGGTTAGCAGATGGAGGAAGGGGAGGTGGGGAGGGAGAGGAAGGGAAATGGATACTGGTGTGGATGCTCTTTCTGGTTAACCTGACCATGTAGAGTTGCAGGATGACTGAGGAACACAGGAGAAACCAGGAGGATACAGAGGTAGGGGTGGGGACACTGTATGGGATTTTTGCATTCTCACCAATAGCATGAGAATAGGCCACTTCACTCAGCACAACCACATGAGCTTGGTGGTTAGGATACAGCTCCTGGAAGACTTCTGCACAACGCTTCACGTCCAGCTTCTCACGACCAAACACATGTAGCACTGGCAGTTTATAGCAGGGGCTCAAGCAGGCAGGGCCGTAGTGTATTACAGCATCAGCACTGACATGCTCCGCTGCCACCTCATCCACACAACAACTAGAGAGAAGCAACAGTGTTAGCTAGGGAAATCCAAGGGCAACCTCCAAATATCTAGCACCCCTACTATATGACAAGATGCTTTCTTTATGAAGGGGGTTTGTGCCCTTCCAAATGTTGACTACAACTCCCATGAGCTCCAGCCAGAGGAGTTGGAAGTTATAATCAAACATCTGGGAGGCTACAGGTTTCCCATCTTTGCTTAAAGTAGCTGCAGGCATACTCAGTGAATTGCCCTGGTAATCAATAAGGTAGGAGCCCTAGCCTTGATAGTGCAAGGAAATATTTTTCTGTAAGCAAAATACAAGATACAGAAAGAGGAAGCAATTGATTGTCTTCAAGGTCTTAAGCTTACTTTTGCAAGGAATCCTACTTTACAAGTTAAGATGATTTATCAAGACAGGCAAGAGACTACTAAGCAAAAAACGATTTCTACTTAAAAACTTCTTTAAAAATGGAGAATGACAGCACAATCCTATGCATGTTTATTCAGCAGTCCATTCCACTGTGTTCAATACCACCCTGTGTGTATAGGAAACTCACACATGCATAACCCATGGCATGTTTCTGTAGAAGAGGAATCTTTCTGTGTTCTCACCTGCCATATGATGTGTCCCCCAGGATGTACATTTTGGCACCAGTTGCTACTTCCAGTCTAGTAGCAATGTCTACTGAATCTGGTAAGAGTTTATCAGGGAACTGAAGAGCAACCTATGTCAAGAGTTCAAGATAATTACTCAAAACATATCTATTATACACAGCATAGAGCAGGCGTGTTGCAACTCTTTCATTGTGAGGGACGAATTCATTTTTTAAAAAAACTCTCTTGTGGCTCATATTCTGGTACTGGATGCGGCTAACATACCAGAGTATAATAGCTTAAAACCCTTACTACTAGAAACTAAATCTCAGGAGAGGAATTTCAGTCTTTTAGATGAGAAAATTTGCAAAAGCTGGGAAACTACCAAAACACAGTCAAGGGGAAAGAGCACGGCTGTTTGAGGAATCTCTGAGGACCAGATTAGGACTGTAGATAGGATGGATTTGACCTGCAGGTCTAACGTTCAACACCCCCTTTCTGTTCTCTCATCTGTCCTTTTCTACCAGTACAAATCTCCTGATATGTAAGCCAGCATTTTCATGACAATGATACTATTCTGTAACAAAATGCATGACCCTCAATTCTATTAAAGGACTAGCATTCATTCCTGGACTTTTCTGCCAGCATGCAAGGAACTAGCTCACCTTGGTGAAGCCATTATCACATACAAATGCAATGGCTCTCTCCAGCTCATAGAATTCCTCCAGCTCAACATCTATGGGGTGTCCACCTTCTTTTGCTGAAATTAGAACTCGCTGCATCACCTCAGCTCCATCACTACTGAATGCTGATGCCATGATAGCCTAAATGCAAACTGTGAAAGAACAGGATGATCTTTAGTAATACGATATTGCCACAACTATATGATGATATAAGGTGAGGATGTCCTTTAACCTATAATGCCACATACACATAATGAGCCCCATATATTTTGTGTGAGTCATTAAGTTGTGCATCACCAGCATGGAAATGGCTAATATCTAAAACGTTTTGTCAAGTTATTACTTAAACGAGTAGCCCACCCTTCTCCTTACAGTCCCAGGATGGGACATTTATCAATGAAAACTACAACAAATCTTGTGGTACCTTAAAAGATTAATAAATTTACTTTGGCATACCGTTTCGTGGACTATAACTCGCTTTATCGAATGGATTTGCTGAAGTGGACTACAGCCCACATAGCTTATTCTAAAGTAAATACACTTCCATAACGGCAGTCACCGACCTGAATTAGACGTATCCCTTAGTTAAGAAGTATGCACCAAGCAAGAATGGGCCAGCTCGTAGACAAATGGTGATAACTGGGCAACGTGGAGTTACAAATCTTCTGAAAAGCGACGTATCAAACCCATATCCACAACTGTCGGTCGCTTACCTGAAAGTAGCCCTACCGCCGACCACATGGACGCCACGCATTCTTAGTTCCGGGGCGGGAACTAAAGCTGCCCAGTAACAACCGGACCTATTTTCCTGTAGGAACAGATCTCTGCCCAGTTTTCGCTTACGTAATTAGCGGGGACAGTTGCAACCAATAAAAACTCCCGGCCCGGAAAGGTCGCCGGAAAAGCGAAAGAGCGAAACAAAAGAGACCGTTACCCTCGTGGTGCATTGCGGGCGTTGTAGTTTTTTCCTCTTGCCGAGCTAACCAATCGGGCGAGACGAGAGCCACGTGAGAGGTTGGGATCCGGTCACGTGGCCCGGGGCTGCTGTGGGGAAGGTCAGGTGATTCCTGGTCGGCTGCAGTCCGTGTTCAGGGCTCATCGCCTTCGCTATCGCCATGTCCGGGCTCGCGCTGCTGTATTCGGGGCTGGGGCTGAGCGCGGCCGCCGCCATCACCGGCATCGGTTAGTGGTTGAGTAGGGCGATCGGAAGGCTGCTGTCGCGGCCCGATCTTGCGTAACAATCATTTCCTTCCCTTTAGCAGTGGCTGAGTGTGTGAGAGAGACAGAGAGAGAGGAAAAGGAGGTCGCCGCGGAACCCCCTTATCTTCGGGGAGGAGCGAAGGAGTATTTAGAATGGCCGCGGTAGGATAGAGCTACTTACCTGCGGAGCTGCCGCTTCTGGGTCTTTCTCCATCCCGGTTCCCCCTGTCAGGCTGTTCTCCGGGGTTCGGGGAATCGCGTTCTCTGCCTCAGCCCCCGCCCCCAAATTACCAGTCTTGGGTGACGCCTGGCTCTCCTTGACGCTGACCTTCTATCAACCTTCCTTAAAGGAAAGATTCTACTAGGATAGCCTTTGGTGACCTGGTGCCTTCCACATCTATTGGACTTCAGCTCCCATCAACCCAGCCAGCATCGCCAGTTGACAGAGCTGTTTTGCAAACATCTGAGGGCACCTCGTTGGGAAAACTTTTTCCAGAGGTGCAGGGCTGTGTGTGCGTCCCATTCCACTTCTGCTTTGTGTCATCTGCCCCATCCCAAGGATTTTGCTGGAACAATATTGCAAAGAAATAAGGGAAAAGTTATCCCCACCCCTAATGTAGTGGGTTCATTGTTGCTTCCTCTTTTAGTACTGGGGGTAAGAAAATAATATGTGTCTGGTATGTGAGTGTCAGGCTTTCTCAATAGCTCTGGAGTGCTTTGTTTGACTTCTGCTTCTGGGTGCCTCTGGGTGCCAATGACACAAGGTGCAGGAGGGCACTCCTAAGGTGCAGTTTCAGTTCTTTTCCATACTTGATCTGGTTTGAGCTAGTGCCTCCAATTCCTAGAGAAGTCAAGCGAACAGGAGATTGATGGCAAATTACATAGCTGTTTCCTCTTTGTTACCCTTGGTATCAGAGCAAAGGTACAGTTGTGAAGTATAAATCTTGTGTATATATAGACAAGATTATTTGATGTTGAACATATTTGTTGAGTAGGACATGAAGGTAAATGCAGAAGGGTTTTGGGTCTATGTTACCACATTGACTGGGATGATTTTTGTCATCTTAAGTTCCTGCATGATTATTTTAGGTTCTAACACAGCCTTCCCTGAACTGGTGCTTTCCAGATTTGATGTTCTGTAATTCCCATAATCCTTCAGCTAGCATGTCCATTATGTGGGCAGGAGATGATGGGAATTATAAACCAATACATCTGGAGAACATTTTAAGTGTTTTTTTTTAGTTCAGGTATATCCATAACAAAGTTCTGACCTACCTGGTTTTTTCAGTGTTGTATTTCTTGACATCTTCTATTGAAGGCAGAAGCAGAAGGGGCACAGGAATCTCAAAGCTTTTTACTGAACATGTCTGGCTCAATTATTACTACAAGTTGGTGGTGTCCTAGACAGGTAATTGTGTTAGTCTGTTGTAGCAGCACCCTCACTGCCATAGGTCTTGGGGGTGCAGCAGCACCCTCAAGCCCTATGGCAGCTTAAAGATCAACAGAGATCCTAGATAACCACTGCCAGGGAACTAGGTGGACAACTGTCTGTTTTCTCCTGTTTGCACTTTTGAAGACTAGAGCCCGCATCCCTCAATATACTGATTGGACTGCTAGGTGACACTGACAGTGTGGTGTTCTTTTTCTGTTTATTTGGAAAATGTTTGAACAAGATCTTGCTTTAATCAGTTTGGACAGGGTGTCATACTAGCACCTGGATTTTAGCACTGACCATACATATTTGGTAGTTTTTCCTTTATCTCACCCTGCTCGGCTCAAACTAGGAAAAATGCGATCAGTGCAGATGGCACTATTCTGAGGAATGACTGACGGGTGCCCCACACATGCTCACACATGATACTTCTCCTTTGCTTGACTTTTTCTTTCCATTTAGTGGCAATTTGCAAGGTCAGCTGTGAAGGAAAGCTACCATCTGAATGAAGCCCCAGATATAGATAGATTATTTTTGTAGTTTGATTATTGAACGACCTGTACTCAGTGCATCACTGATTTTGACAGTAACTTGCTTGAAACTAGTTTTTTCTCTAAACCAGTTTTATTCTTAATAATTCTTGTCCAGCTGAGCTCTAGACAGACACAAAATGGCCTCTTGAGAAAATGTCCAAATAGAGTATTGGTAAGGGATAATACATGGGAGAAATGGATTGGTAGCAGCCCCAGATACTTCATTCTTCTTGGAAAGACCCTGCTTTTTCTTCATGTTTTAAACCTGGCAGTCCCCACACTTACTCAGAGGTGAAGAGGAAAGATCACTTTGATGAGCTTGGGCAAGGATGCAGCTTTTTGCCCTCTGCTATATTAGTCGTGTGTGTGTGTGTGTGAGAGAGAGAGAGAGATGCTGTTTTCTTGTGATTTAATGGGAACCAACTGTAATAGCATACTGGGGAGACCTGAGGACTCCATTCTCTCCAGTTTGTTTTGTCAACAGGCTTTGGAACAACTGCCCTAGCAAGAGTGCTGTGTGCCAGCTACCTAGGATTGTTGGTGGCTTCATCTGGATCCATCCAGTTTATTTGGCTCAGTCAGGGTTAAGAAATGGCAAAGAGCAAACTCAGTTCTGACTTTCTGGCTCAAGCTGTCTGTTCTTCAAGGTCACTTTACCAGAAAGGTACAGGTAATGCTGGGAAGCAGGGGTGACTTCTTACTGGTTCCTGCCGGGACTAGCTTTTCAATTCAGATGTACCACTTTGCTCAGTGGTGCTCCATTTCCACCCCTTGAGTGTGCATTTGTAGCCAAGCTCTGTTCCTACACTGCTTGTTGGCTAGCAAGAGACACTCTTAGTTCCTCTTTCCAGTCTGGATGACTTGAGCAGAATAAAGCTTCTCCTTTTCAGAACATGATTGCCACAGTAGTGTCAGAAAGGAAATTAGTTTCTTCCTTTTTTTTCAGGAAGATCGGAGCATAGTTCATTCATGGTGGGTCTCTAAATCTCAGCCCATCTTGGTGGTTATGGGCCCTGAAGTGAGCATGATCCTATTACTGCTTGGGGACAATTCATATCCTTGGGAGTTTCCCCTCTGGGGTTTACCAAGTTGAATAATGGGTATATGTGGCAAGAAAGAATGTGCCTCAAGGCAAAAAACTGTCAATTGGTACCTTTTCTTTTCCCAGTGAAATGATCAGGTGTTTGACAAAAAGTTTCAGGCTGCTAATCTTTTGCTTTGCCATGGGATATATCTGGCCTGAGGTAGCACAGGAAGGAACAGGGAGAATTTTTTTTCCTATGGCAATTCTTCAGTGTTTTGTTCCTGTTTTCTTGAGTAAACTTACTTGAAAAGAAGCCTAGTAATGAAATCACTTGAATTATTTTAAATGGTGCACAACTGCTATTTGAATTTAGGAAGCCTAGACTGTAATTTGACTGTTACTATATGGATCCTTTAGTGATCATTTGTTATGTCTCTTCTTTATAATAGAGTTGGGCAACTCTTGCTGTGAAACAATGACATTAACTTCTTATCCTATGGCCAAACAGGCAGCATGTAAATCAAATAAATAAATACCTATGGACAATGTTTCAGTTTTAATATCGTTATGAAAGGTTTTTAGAAATGCCAATAATTACATGTGTTTTTATCTTGGAACAGAATTACATTTTTTAAAATTGTATTTGAAATTACATTAAAAGAGTAATGAAATAAAGTAACAGTGGATTTTTTTAAAGAGGTCATAAAGACTATTGGATGGTTCTAATAATTATGCAGCAGATTTAGTATTAAATTGGCAACAGCATAACTTCATAGAATATTTGACTGCTGTCACTTGATTGGTGACCCAAACTGACTCTGAGATATTGGAATGTTTCAGGGCATTAACAACTTTCTCTTCCTACTTTGTATTGCCTGATCCAAATTTTGAAGTGGCTTCTACACTTTTAGAAGTTTCAGAGAAAACAGCAATTCACGAAGTGTTGCTTTACCCATTACTGCAGCACTGTTGTGTACAGAGAGAGTTTTGTTTTATTTATTAAATTTCTATCCCACCCATACCAAAATGGCTCTCTACCTTTTGCCTTTCCCAACAGATAAAGATAGAGGGATCTTGAAAGAACACATGGCAAAGCTGGAAGGGGGTAAAAGTTGCATTTGACTACCTTTGTCATTGCATGTTCCATGCTCACCGTGTACCATATGAGGCAGAGAGCAGAAAAGGAAATGGAAGGATTGAACTGCTGTAGGGACAGGCTTGTGGCCCCCTAGGCAAGACTCAAGGATCTGGAATTGGCCATGTCAGGAGTTGTATCCAGATCTGTAAGTTTCCTTTTGGCTGGGATACCTCAGCCTGCTGGGGCTTGCAGTGCGCCATGTGGTTTCCTCTCCTTTTGACACCCACTTCTGCCACTACAGAAAGATTCTCTGGTCTATTGGCCGCCCTCTGTGTGACTTCCAGTGCAACTCGATCTGCAGCGTAGGAGGCATGTTGTCCCAGCCACTCAGTAATACAACAGCAAACCAAAGCCCCAGCATCCACCTAAAAGCAAGAGGCTTCTTTTTGCAGTTTGCTACAAACTTTTCTTGTTAGATGAAGAGTAGGAATGCCCCCTAGTGTTCATCTTTCACAGGTTCATGTGTTCCTGTTCATTTGTGTGGTGCTCCGTTGTTGGTGTGGCAGTTCTTTCTGATATTGCACTGCTGAGTTTGCAGTTACAAAGCATAAACCACTCTATCTGAACGATGCCCCTGTAGCGGGTGTGGATTACCGCACAGTTTCCCTACCCTGGTGCAAAGTCTTAGATTTGATTGCAACCAGCCCTCTGTTTTAGTAAGGTGGATTTTGGGGGTGTGAGAGATGCTCGCTTGGCAGCCCGCTGATTGCTGTGCAGGCTTCCACAGAAACCTGTGATATAAACTGCATTCTTCTCTGTGTCCTTCCCTTACTAACCTGCCAGTTTGAATATTTTCTGCTCATTTTGTAAATGTCAGGAAGGCTTGCACATTCCTTGGGTGTGTAGAGGAAGAGGGGCTGTGCTTGTTATCTCTGTCTCCAGTTTTGCTTTCAAAGCCTGCAGGAGCAGAACGAGGCAGCAGGCTGCCAGCTCTTGGGGCTACCGTTTCTCTGATCAGAGCCTGATTGTTGCTGAGTGAAGGATCTGGAGCTCGCGCTGCCTGTGGCTTAAAGCTGCCACTTGAAACATGCGGCACACCAGTTTCTGCTTCTGTGGAGCTGAACATAAACATAACCTTACACTCAGGCCCATGCTGCTTATGAATAAGTTCTGAACCATTAGTGCTGCCTCCAGTTTCCTGACCCATTTTCTTCCTCTTAGTTATACAGGGTTAATCTTACTTGGACTTGTATCTAAATTTTAAATGTCTGCTGATAAGGCCTCAATATCCTCCTCTGAGCTATCCCACTGTCCATTTTTCTAATGTTAACATTTAATCAGGTTGCCTCTTGCCTTCTCTCTTTAGTAATTTTTAATGGAAACCAATGTATCTGGTCTTCCCTGATCTAGTGGCTCATTTGGGTTTCCTTCTGCCCCAAGAAACTCATTTCTTCATCCTTGCTATTTCTTCTAAGCCCTTTCCAACTGTGTCTTTTTTTTCCTCAAATTGCTTGATTCACAGTAGCAAGAAAGAAATCTAGTAGTGAATAGGGTGGAATTCTAGTGTCTCATGAATGTGTAGTCATCTTCTTTTCATATATTCCGAAATACCTTTCCCTTAATCATATCACTGATTCATTTTGTGACGTGCTCCCATCCTGCTCTTCCCCTGTACATGTGACTTTCTTTCCTATGTGTTGGATATGATGCAGTGAACCATTCACAGCTGGCGGTGTCTCTCTCCATCTCTTTCATCCATTCATGTAAAAGTAGAAATGGTTTGGGTAAGGAAGTTGCCTACAGCTAGGGTGTTGTGGATGTAAAAATACTGTTTAGTTGCCAAGTTGGTAGAAGAATGAAAGCTGTTGTAATTGGTTTGACATGTTGCCTTATGTCGTTCAGAAAGAGCAAGCACACTTCTCTTACGATTGAGGCTTTATAGGATGCTGTACATATGCAGTTGGTGTTGAATGATGGGCTGGTTTAGTGGATTCAATTTAAATGCATCTAAAAAAGTCATTTTACATAGTAACTCACAAGGTGATTTTTTTTTAATTGGGGTTCCCACACAGTATCACATGTGGATATGTTCCATACTGCAGTGGCTTAATTTTTTTCACGGTAATACCATTATTTCTAACAAGGGGGGGGGGCTGCTCAGTAGCTTCATTAGACACAGTCGTCTTATTTTTATACATATGTACAGCTAATTTAAAAGATTCTACAATATTCAACTGACAAAAGTCTGCATTTTCCCATATAGGAGAAAAAGGAGAAGGATTACTCCTGCTTCTATTTCCATGGGATAAAGTGTCATTGGATTGTTGTACTTTAAGCAGATCTCTTTAATTCAAGGATACCAACACCAATGAGCCTTTTATGGATGAAAATGGTTATATTTCAAGAACACAAAAAGGGTTTCTAACTGATCAATTTATTTGGCAGTGGGCACTCATTTTGTAATTGTGGGTGATAGAAATGTTTTTATTTTCCTTATCTGTGTTCACAGCTATTCAGGCAAGATCTAATCTGAGTATGTTGGTAAAAGGGGACATAATCTCCCAGTAATTTCATTATGAGAGATAAGTGCATTCATATAAAGCTTTGTCTTGATCCACTTATGCTTTAACATAAATTTAAATTTCCTCGATGTCGATCAGAAAAAAAATCTTACTGCATATACTAGTGACATATTGGGAACTATCTTTTTACTATATTTATCAGTGGGCTCCACCAATACGAATTGGATCCAGACTGTATGCCTACTGGCAGGACTGCCATGTTACCAGAAGAAGCTGAGTGGTTACTTTACCAATTACCGCTCCTGCGGCTGCTTGTGCCCTCTGAAAATCTAGATGGCTGGGATGCCCTTGAGCACATTTTTGGAGATTACAAGTGCCTCAGGAGGAAAGGGCAAAAGTCACCACCTTCCATCTACCAACAGGAACCCCAGCACCACCACTTCATCAAATTACTTCCATGGGTGGAAGGACTCCTTCCATCTGCAGTATTCGAATCTGCAGATTATATGTATTAATATGATGGCTGACTCTGTTTACTCAGTTCGTCTGTAAATGCCAAATGTGGCATTTAGGGAGCTTTCATCATAGCTGGGGTCAACAGAAATTATGCTTGATGATTTTAGATCTGCAGCATTGTATTTTTATGTAAGTCAGTGCTGCAGCACTCAGTGGAAATAAAGAAAAAAGCAAGATTTTTGGGGAGTGCTGTGGGTTTTTGCTTTGTAACTTTGCTGGTGTATAGTAGGAACCCTGTTGGACAAGGTGGGGAAATTCAGGTCTGAAGGCCAAATCCTGCCATCCAGAGACAACCTTGACCTCTTCCCATTCGCTCTAATTGCCGTCCTTTTGGTAGCTTCCCAGTGTTTATGTGTTTTTCTCCTTTCTAGCAGGCTAAAACCTCTCTCCTGAGTCTTAGTTACTGGCAGTAAGAAGTTTAAGCTGCAATATCTTGGCATTTTTGGTACACTGCTTTTGCTTTCAGCCCTTAGTCATAATGTCAGTACAACCTGCAAGAGTTTCTTCAAAACTGAATTCTGCCTTTGGTCCAAAAGAGGTTCCCCACCACTGCTTTAGATACGGGTCCACTTTTACATCGTTCCTTTTTGTTGGACCTAGATGCCTATTTAAATCTGGTTGGCACAACAGAGCACTACCAACAGGAGAGCATGTTAGCTTTACCCTGAAAAGGTGACTTAGCTCCATGGATATTTGTGATATAAGCCATATTGTTGTAACCAGCCCAGGGAGCCATGTAGCTAATGGGGTGGGCTAGAAAGCTAATAAATGAATGAATAAATAAATGAATTGAATATAATTTCAAAAGGAAAGCCCCACTCTCTTTCTGCTTTTCCTGTCAGTGATCTGACAGTAGTTATCCAACTTGAGGATGATGGCTGCCAACTGGTGCTGTCACAACTCTGGCTTTGAAGAAGGAAAGACCAAGAGGTGGAAGGATTCAGTGTTTCTTCTTATTTTCCAGGAATCTGCTACACAATATTTGGCCTGGGCTTCCGTTTCGATGTGGCATGGTAAGGTGGCACTCTTTCTTCCTGAACCTAGGGTTAGAGTAACATGGAGGAAAGTGGCTTATGGATGTTTCCCTACAGACAGTCTGGGAACAAATGAGTAACTTTCCAGTGCACTTTTCTGGCTTTGTGAATCACTGAAGATCTGTTAGTGCTGTGCTCCAGAATGGGGTGGGGTTGGTAGGGCTTGACCTGGCAGCATCCACAGGCAGATGGATTTCCCTTCCTTGCCCCACTTGTTCAGAAGAGTATTGATGGTAGTGTTCTCTTTCATCGTTACATTCTGCTAAGTGTATCACTTCACTTGCGGGTCAGCTTTGGCTTACAGATCTTGTGGTGCTCAGATTTTGGTGGCAATCCATCCATCTCAAGATCTTCCCCTCTCTTCCCTCTGAAATTCTTTGCTCTTGTTTATGCTCCTGAATTTTGGCTGAGTTTGTAAAGAATGGTGGGTGCTTCTTTGTGCATGTGGGAAAGGGTACGGAATCCAGAGTTGCTGCCACAACCATACACTGCTACTTTTAGTCCTAGAGCTGGCCTGGGCAGGTCTGTTGCTTAACTGCTTTCACAGTCTTCCTGTACAGTTGTCTCTGCCCGCTAGTGCCACTCTGACCCAGCACAGCTTTCCTGCAGTGCTCTTCTCCTGCCCAACTCACAACAAGTATCTCCTTCCTAACGGCACCATGGCATTCCTGTTGCAGGAGTGAAGTCTCTTAGCTGCACTGGGGAGAGGGGGTTGCATTACTATGATCTCTGAGCTGGAGGAGTAGACTGACCTGCTGAATTCTGTCAACAAAGGGGAAATCCCATCAAAGTGTCCTGACTAGGGGTGTGCCTTTTCTGTGGGAAGGATGAGGAGCTGAAGAACACGATATTCAAAAGCTGTTCTTCTGTCTACAGGTTCCTCACCGAGACGTCGCCGTACATGTGGTCCAACCTGGGCATTGGGCTGTCCATCTCGCTGTCAGTGGTGGGTGCTGCCTGGTGAGTGCCCCACATCCCTCAATACTGTTGTGCTCTGCTTTGGTGTCTGCTTCTTGGGGCTGGTCCTATGGCATGTGTTTAACTAAAGGTACAGACCTGCACATCTTTAGACTTTGTAGGACTCGTTTCTGTCAAAATATGCATAAAACTGCACCCTTTAACATGTGCATAAATACAATTTGGTGCCGGGTACAGTCATTCTAGATTCTTTTCCCGTTTGCTACCAACAGGCCCTGAGCCTTTAGTGTGGCATTTTGATCACATACTGAGTGCTGCTTATCTAACCTTTCTGTGCCTCTGTTTTTAGGGGTATTTACATCACTGGATCCAGCATTATTGGTGGTGGTGTCAAAGCACCTAGGATCAAAACCAAAAATCTGGTCAGGTAAGAGGAACTCTTTCCTCAACGTGTGCTCTAGAGGTACTGCAAATCAGGAATTTCCCATATCTACTCTCTGTTTAGGCTTAGTTTTAGACAGAAAGTTCTTTTTTTTCCCTCTTTGGCGGGTAAAGTTGTCTTCCTTAGCTGTGTGAAAGTGTAAGATGCTGAATTACCTTATGGTATGTCCTAAAATTGTTGTGACAGCTGCACACGCTTCTCTTGTGCTGCCATAAGCCATGCTTTTTTCCAGATGTGCAGAAGTCACTAAGTGAGATGGAATGAAGTTAAAGCAAAGCAAAAAGGGGCTGAACCAAAATAAAATGTAAAATATAAGGATTGATTGTTAACTTCTACTGACTGAATTTGCCAGGGCTTTTTTAGGGGGGGTGAGGTTGTTTCACAGCATGGTCCTCTGATGTAATTTATTTATTTAAAATATTTATATGCTGCTTATCTCACCACTGGCATATCTAGGCGGTCCTCATGGGTTACAAATATGGGGCTGATAGCTATATTGGGTATTCTGCCAATATTCAAAGTATAGCCTCTGAAACTTTGGGCTGAGGTATGAGATTTTGGTCCAACATAACTTTGCTTTTAAAAAAACTTAATAAGGATAAGCAGGCTGGAGAAATGTGCCTTTCAAAATCTTGTCTCTTTAACTGCCTTACTTCACTAATGTGATGCTCTGTCTGGCATAGACTAGGGGAGCCGTTTCACCAGAGCAACTCTAAGTGGCACTGTTCCTTGGCAAAACACTCCTGATGGAGGGATCAGGTCACCTATGTAGGCTAGTTGAGTACTAAATAGAATGAGACTGCTAAAAGACAGGCAAACTATGCTAGTCAGAAGGCAGAAAGATGCATGTGATCAAAGTTATAGCTGGTAATCAGTTCTTTGGTGATGCAGAGTCCACTGGTGAAGCATGGAGCTTTAATACTGGCGCAAGCCACTTCACCTTTTAGAAAAGCGGAGTTTTGAGTGGCGGATTCCTTTGAGTGACCAGTCCATTCCTTTCGCTCACTTCCCTGCCCCTGCTTCCAGCTTTGTCACCTGGCAGCTAATGTGTCGTTTCTTCTGGCAGCATCATCTTCTGTGAAGCTGTGGCCATCTACGGGATCATCATGGCGATTGTGATCACCAACATGGCTGAGGTAATGGGGGTACCTGCTTTGTGTATGGAAGGGTCACGGCTGTGTGCAAGATGAACTCTCCCAGTCGCTAGTCTATCTGATTTCAAGGTGGCCTCACTCAGCTGTTGCCAAGCTGGGGGAGAACAAAGAAGGCAAAGGCCGAGATACTGATCAGATCCAGAGCTGTGGCACATAGTGCAGTGCTAGGAAGAAGCAGGGTAGCAAGAAGCAAGCTTGGTTCAAGCTCTTCAGCTGAAGCCTGCAGTCCTGCTAGGGCAGAGGGACACTTGGTTAACTGCTCATGCAACCTGGGACAGTATTGCCCAGGCCAATAAGGAGAAAAAGCTGTCTTGCTGTGAAATAAATCCTACTTTTGAAAGCAGACTTCTCCCCTTGTCCAAAGAAAATGGGATTCTTATTGTCATTCCAAGAAGCTCTGGGTGGGGTTCGCCTGCGTCTAGCTTCTGCTGGACTTCTGAGTTGGTAGAAGATGAGGAGCCCCCCTCCTGAAATGCTGGCAAATATTAGGTTTTCTGTAAATGCCAACTTGGTTTTCACTACACCTAATCTCTCTGTTGGGAAGTTATTCCAATCTGCTAGTTTGCTAATTGGGTTTGTGCCTTTTGCTTTCTGAACGACTTCCTTTTCTTACAGCAATTTACTGGCAGAACTCCTGAGGAGATTCGTTCAAATAACTATCATGCAGGTAGGCTGTGTTTGTAGGGATTGGGGATAGGCAGAGAGCTGATGGTCTCTGTTTGAGGTCATCAGGTGCCCCTTTTTTCTTAAGGAAATGTCAGATTCCTTCTTAGACTGTTGCTCCATTAAGTTAAATGTTTCAGATAGGAGTCTTTCCCAGCTCTTTCTGGCATTGCTAGAGATTTAGCCTAGAACTTTCTGCATACAGAACATGTGTTTTTACTACTGAACTATGTTCCTTCCCCTTGTTGGATTGTGTCTTGACACAATTCCACCTAAAGTGAGCTCTTCCATTGAGAGGCATTAAGTGGGGAACTTCTGGATCCTGCCCACTGGCCTTGCAAAGCTGCTACTTCTTACTGTATTTTGCACTAGCAATGAGATCATATTCTATATTTTTGCTGCTAAGGAAAACTGAAGACTTGGCATAAACTGAAGACACAACTGGGAAATACTTATTCCTAATGCTCTTTCTTCCTGCAGGTTACTCCATGTTTGGGGCAGGCTTGACTGTGGGCCTCTCCAATCTCTTCTGTGGTGTATGTGTGGGCATTGTGGGCAGTGGTGCCGCACTGGCAGATGCCCAGAATGCCAGCCTCTTTGTCAAGATCCTCATTGTGGAAATTTTTGGCAGTGCCATCGGGCTCTTCGGTGTCATTGTGGCTATCCTGCAGGTGAGGCCTTCCTGTCTTCTTTGCTACACCTGGTGCAGGTCCCAGAAAACCCTGTTAGACACACAGCAGATATTTCCAATTTCCAAACATTGTGCAGAAGGGAAAGGCTGGTGTTTGCTAAAACTCTGACAGCGTTGTCTGGTTTCTAGCCCCTCTCTTTCCCTAAGCACAGGCAGAATGAGGAATGAATATAGTGCTGGGGTTCTGGAATCACTAGCAGTCAAACCTAGCCTGTTCTCTACTTTAGGGGTGGGCAACTTGTGGCACTCCAGATGTTGATGGAGTGCAGCTCCATCAGGCCTAGCCAGCATGGACAATGGCGAGAGATGCTAAGTGCAATGCAACAGCATTTTGTGGATTCCTGTGTTTCTCTATTCTTGCTGTAGTGATGAAGAACACACAGTACCGTGAGACAGAATTCCCTCATAGTTTGTACAAAGGAACATGCATTTGCTCTTAACCAAAAACCTTTAGGGTGTATTGAATGCTGCTGATTAGTGTTGGAAGACCTGTTTCAGAAGGAGGGGTGGTAGTCCCCAGGGCTGGCATGGTTTTAGGGTCAGCCAGCCCTGCTTCACAGTTAGGATGAGACAAGAATTGGCTTTTCACAGAATATCCCCAAGTCTAAACAAGCTTCAGCTCTCTTTGTTGGCAGGTAGCCCTTAGGTCCTATCAAGCCCACTGAAGACCCGCCGCCTCAACTGCAGCAACCTCCACCAGCAGCACCACTAGTGACCTTGCACTGCCCTCCGCTGCTCTGTGCTCTTGTCCCATAGTGCTGTGTTTCCTTATGATCATGCATAGCTGGATGCATTTGCAGCGCGGCACGCTTTTAAAAAACTCTGCTTAATGTAAACAAGCACAGCGACATTATTGAGTCCATCAGAAATCATGACAAGCAGGACTGGGGATGCTGAAGTTTGCTAGGAAGCACAGATAGAGGGTAGGTGGATAGAGGGTAGGTGGTCCTCCTGAGAAGGGGTCAGGGTGGGGGATGCCTCTCCCTCCCCAGCAATTTAATGCATGCTGGGCTGTAGGCATACTGTGCAAGGAACCAGCGTTGTGCTCCTGGTGCTCTTCCTGGGGACCAGGGAATTTGTAGGGAAGTATAATTAGTGGTGTACAGAAGTCATCTGATCTTTTGCTCTTTTTTATATTTTTCAGACATCTAAAGTGAAAATGGGTGACTAAATCCTTTGCCCCCTGTCTGTCTGCTAACTGCAGATTCTGTACATACTTATTTAATGTCTCCTGTTGGCCTGGGGTGGAGCTTGGTGTATAAAGTTATTCCTGTGATCTTCACCTCTTGGGCTGTGGAAGAACCTGACCAATTGATGTGTTTGTGAGAATCTCTCCGTCTCTTTCCCCCATTCATTTTCTGCTCCACTTCCCCAGAAGAAAGGAGCTGGACGCCTAGGTGGGAGGAGCCTAGTATGTGCCGGCCCTTGCACTCTTGTGGCAGACCACTGCCCACCGCAATGCAATGTCCTGTGAAAGAAGCTCGTTTGTGTCCCAAGTAGCTGCCCCTCTTTGTGTGCGCCCTGCTGCTGTGGCCCCCCCACTGCCCAGCTCCTGCTGGCTCTGGCAGCCCTTTTTTCCTGAATCATGGGTGGCACTGGCTGAAGTCCTGGCACTGCAGGTTGTGGGAGATGCCCTCCTAGACACACCTGCTTCATACTGAAGGGGCACGTAGGAGCTGAAAGATGTAATTTTTGGAATTCTCTGAAGCATCACAAATGATTGGTTATTAAAATGAATGATAATAACTGTGTTTTGTAGTGTGATTAATCATTAGTGTTCTCTGGAATGCCTGCTATTTGTTGAACTGCTTAGAATATGCAGTGCAGTTATTTAGGGTATTAACTAAAGTCAGGGAATTCACAGTTAGGGATTATGCATGGAGCCACAGCAGAAAACAAACAGAAGAGGCAAAACGTTTACTTCAAACACTGAACAAACTCATTTGAACTACATCATGTATAAAATGACCCGGAGTGTCTTGCATATCTGTCTTCTAAGACCTCTCATTAAAAATTAGTTTGGGTTTTTAATTTGTATTTTCAGCCTGAAGACTGAACTGGCACAGACTGATTTAATATCACTTAGATGCCAATTTTTTGAAATGCACCATACAAAAGCAAACCTGTGTGTGGCATTAATTATACATGCAACAGGTGGACTTGTATGATTTATGTCTTAATTATATTCACACTTAGGTGTATCGGGATACACTTATAATCTCTTGCTTGCACATCTGGACTATGTAATATGTGGCTTTATATACTATAACTTAGATTATCTTTCTGTAATTCCATTGCAATATTGGCCTACTTTCTTGTCCAAGTGCTTGCACTCATCCTTTGCTTAGGGAATTCTGAGGGCACTTGCATGAAGAGGCTTCAGTTGCTAGGCCGATTATGAGGGTCCATGTAGGGGAACCACTGCTCATTGCCAGGCACACCAATTGCTGCATGACTTCCTTTTTTCAGAAGCATCAGCTTGGAACAAAGGGCACTCATTATTTATCTAAGCCTCATATTTATGTGAGCCCACTGTTCCATTTGATTTTTGTTGTGTGTTCAGAAGTGCTTGAATTACGGTTAGCAGATTGCTGCTTTCTTTGAAGGCCCAAATCTCCCTATCATGGCAGAATTTCAGAACCTCTGGTGCAAGTTATGTGTTCTGTCCTACTGTTCAGAGCTAGTGAGAGCTTAAGTACTTGGTTCTTTTCCACCCTGTAGTGGGAATAGATTTTCGCAAGTGAAAAATACCTTTAAGAGTTGCAGTGCCATGTGCAAATGAGGATATAGGAGTTGGACTAGGGCTTAAGAATTCAAACCCTCACTCAACCATAAATAAAGTTTTTAGGTGATTTGGGGCCTTGCTCTATCCTGCAGACTGACCTATCTCACTGGGTTGTAAGTTAAAATAGGGAGTGATTTGTGTTGCCCTGAATGCTATGGAGGGTTAGGGTTACAGAGCTACGAGTATCAAGCTAATAAAGTCACTGAGGAGAATACAGGTGCAGTGAATGGAAATTGCTTCCAACTGAAATCAGTGGGACTTAAGTCTTAGCCAGTATTTTGTGACATGGGTTCAGCCCCCAATTCTAGAACTTAGCCCTCTATTTTCAGCAATAACAGTAAGCTGAGCTTTTGCTGAAAAAGAAGGCAAGAAGTGATTCACTTCTTGTGTAAGCCAAATGGACTAAGGAAAAGCAATCATTCTTGCACATTTTAACTGAGGACAAGAAAGTGCAGCTCACAAATTCAGGACCCTCAAGAACTTGGGAAATTGCTGGGCACTTAGCCATATCGGGCTTGTGTCTACAAGCTATTCTGTGGTAGGTAGGCTGACATTAGTTTTCCAGTGGGCTGACGTGCTGAAGTCCACTGCCAAGCAAATGATTTCAAGGAGGCTGCAGTAGACTCACCCACCCCATGGAAGCAATGATCACCACACCAGTGGTAGAGCCCCATTCGATCACATGCACACACTTCAAGCATATCCTTGCAACTTCATCCCAGGCATGGACAGCTTGCAACATCAGTCAATTCAGTATACGGTCTATAAAAAGAGAATGCGCATTCAGAGCATTGCAGGCATTAGAAGGAATAAGGAGGCAAAGGTTTCTTCTGAGTTCCTCCCACCTGCAAAACAGTTAAATGGCCAATTTTGGGTTAGTGTTGTCCCTTGGACCACAGGAAATGGAGGCTGAGGTGCTGCCAGGCTTTTTTTTTTTTTTTCCTAATCAGAGTGGCACCTTGTTTCCTGCCCTCCCCTTTCCCTAAGCCTTGTCTTTGAGGTTGCTTTTTCAGCCTTGGAGATGCAGCTTAGCCAGCTATGGAGGACACACACTGAGCTCAAAGCCACAGCTGCAAAGTTGGACCACTTCTCGAATGTCTGAGCTGGGCCTTTGAAAAACCTCACGGTTGTCTAGACAGTATTGAGCAGCCATAGGATTGTGCTGCCTACAACTCAAGTTTTACAACCAGATGCCAGCTATTTAGAGCACACTTAGGGGAAAACTGAAAAGTTTTCTGAGCTTTGATGAGATTTTGAGGATCTTGTAGTTTAAGCCCTTGTGCTGAGTGAGATTTGCCATCTGATCCAGTCCTATAGCTTTTAAAAGCCTGTCCTGCTAACTGCAGATGGAGAAAATGTGTTGAATGCCAGGCAGCAAGAGAGCTAAGACAGAGATAGTTACCGTCCATCTACCCCATAAACTGATATCACAGGAGCTGGAATCCCAAGAGTCTGCTGTCAACCTTCTGAAAAATCTATGGGGAAAATAGCTATGTGCCGCCCCCTCCTTAAAAGGATATAGATGGTAAGCCAGCTCTGTTCGTTCTATCTCTTCCTGTACCTCCTTTCCGTTGTTATTTATTCCATTATTCATGGCAAGACTTCCTTGGTCAGATTGGCTCAGCATTTTGAAGAGAGAAAAGACAGTTCTTACATCACTGCAGGAGCTGACCCGGTATACAGCAAGTTCCTGCTGCCACCTTTTGGTTTCTTCGGCTTTTGAGTTCTTGCTGGCACCGCCCATTGGCAAGAGATTCCCCAAACTGTTTCTTGAAATAATGTGTTTAGCCTCTCCCAGATTTTCCCTCATCTTGAGTAAAAATGCTTGCAATTTATGTCTGTGAATAATCCTGCTGTTCGTTTCTTGTAGAGGCTCTTGCTGTACTTTTCAAGGCCTGGCTGAGTCCTTAAGAATATTACTACTGGGAGAAAATTAGACCTGTTTAAACGATGGCAGACTACCATGTAAGATTGCCTCTTCCTTCACGTCTCTGCATTTAGCTGTGGAGCTGCTAGCCTTAAGCAAGATAGCATGATAAGGATATAAAAAGCATCAAATGTTAAAGAACAGTCTTTAGAATTGTGGCATCTTGAAATTCTCTCCCAATCTGATTGTAATGGAGTCATATTGTTCTTTTTCTTATATTACTGGATGACACTATGGGAGCAATCCTGTAGCCCCTAGACATTATCTGGAAGTGGGGGTGGGGGCACCTTTCCCTTAATATCTGGCATGGAAAGGACCACACCAGCTGGCCTCCAAGGTTCAACCATCAACCTCTGAAAGGGAGTAGAGGGGCTATTTGGAGGGCAGTGAGAAGAATGGGAGTGGTGAGAATATGAGTTATTCTGAGCCCCTGCTAGCCTCTTTCCTGTACCCTTGAAACATCTATCTAAAAAGCTCTTTGCAGGTAGGAAAGTGGCCCTCACCTTCACTCCTCCTGTCCTGCGTCGGATGATCAGGAACCTCTGAATTCAATCATCCAGAGGTAGAATTGCATTGATTTTTAATACTTTTAGTAGGATGAATGGTGAGGAAAGCCCCACTCCAGTGACGTCATGTCAAGGACAGATCCCCTCTTCTCAAATTGACTGCTAGATGGTTGCAGCCTGCATACATTTCAAGCACATCCAGCTTCAAATTTCATTGTAGGGAGATAAATAGCAAGCCACCCCGTTGCTGTGGGGCAACTGACTTGAAAGAATATAACACTCTGCTTTATAATTTATCTGGAACAGATCACTTTCCGTCCTGGTGCTGTATTAATAAAAATCTTCCATGCCTATTTGAAACATATTTACGGGATAATAACAGCAAGTCTTTACTCAAGCAGGAGCTACAAGTCAGGGATGATGGGTTTATTGTTCCCAACCTTATGCAACACTACATGCCTTATTTGCTTTTGGATGCAGGCCAGTTATCTGTAGAGTTAAAAGTAGAGTTAATTTCAAGAGCCAAGGTGGTATAGTGGTTAAAGTGTTGGACTAGGGAACTAGGAATCTAGATTCTAGATTTTCAGCTATGGAACTCCCTGGGTAATTTTGGGCCAGTCGCAGTCTGTCAGCCTAATCTACTTTACAGGGTGGTTGTGAGGATAAAATGGAGAGAAGAAACAACTTGCAAGCTGCCTTGTATTCCTAGCAAGAAGAATAGCAGGGTATAAATGTATTGATTTATCTACCTACCTGCTGAGTGAGTGAGGTCTATCAAGTCAGTTTAAGGCCTACATGTAAATTTCTTCCATTTCACGCAATATATAGACATAATTTCTTCTCGCTGCAATTGCAGGCAAGGAGTCCTTGCTTTATATGAAGACATAAACATTACATGTTCCTCTAGTCCATATGTAAGCATCCCAGTTCAACATACCAAGATAAACTTTTTTGCAACATGGCTACTGTTACAAGAAGCAGCATGATCTAAAGAGAGTGCCCAGACTCTTTCTTCCATATGGGATCTTGGCTACTATGATGCTATTCCCCAGTCATGGGCTATATAATTTCCTTGGATTCACATTCAAAATTGGTACAGATGTTTGAGGATCACTCACAACCCCCTTGGAAAGCTTCCAGTTCTGAGATATAAGCATACTGTAGCCATTAGACTTGTATTTGCTCTTAGTCAAGGCTTAAGGGTACTGGCTACTGGCTCAGTTATGTGGCCTGTACAGGCATGAGCCTAACAAGTCAATCACCTTTTGCTAGGTACAGCACTCTGCAGAGCGATCTCCTTTGCCTTGGCTACTCCTCTGCTCCATTTATCGTTTAGAAATGTACATTCTACCATTTCTGCATTGTAGCTGATGTTGAAAGAGGGTTAAAATAATAAAAACTTACCTGGACCCAGAAACAACAAAAGTGGACAGCCTAGTTAAACACAGAAGTGTAAAAATTGCAACAGGGAGAATAAATACCCAGGGAAAATAAATACACTTTATCTTATACATTTACAGCATTTTTA